AGCGTGTGTACCTTATTGGTTTAACCCCTTATTTATAGATGAGTTAGCTGGTAGAAGTGGACTTTTGGGTCTCTCAAGAGCATTGGGGGTCCAATTGTTGATCCATTGCTGCCGTAGTAGGATTAGCATAATTAAGGAATATTTCCTTAATTCCCTCTTAGCTGTTAGCCCTATTTGGGCCTTCTAGAATATAGGCCTTTGTTAGGTCCATAACATAAAATAAATAAAAAATGTCAAAATTTGATACGCACTATTAAACTCGAATTGGTTCGACCAATTCGTGTCAAATTAATTAAATAAGCAAAACACGAACAGCCCTAAGAATTATCTAAACTAGTTCAACCATTTTATATGAAAAATATTTACAATTAGTTTCATAGTGAATATTTAATATGTTATTCATATATATATATATGGTAGAGTTATATTTACACACTCTTACAAACTACACTATGTACTCCCAGAAGAACACTAGGTTAGTAGGTTACACTATGTTCTCCCTGAAGTACATAGTGTAACTTGAAAAAATTTGTAAAAAAAATTTGTAAACGGATCCTTCCTATATATATATATATATATATATATATATATATATATATAATATATATAATATAATTAATAAATTAAAATGATTAGATGTAAGTCGATTAATAACTCAAAAAAATATAAAACATTTTAAAATTGAAATTGAAATAATTTTTTTTCTCTGACCAATCCGATTTAGAACACACACCCATATTTAAAACGATAATGTTGTCGTTGTTGTTTTTTTTTTTTTGTCTATAAGTTTTTCTCTTCATATATATCAATATTCCCATAAATAAGTGGTTGAATTCGAAATTTAATGATTCGGTAGTCCAACGGAATTAAAGTTTGTACCTCAATATTCAATAATAACATTTTCACAATATTTAATAATTAATGAGTTTAATGTTATGTGTGAAGCTGAAAAAGCTTCTCTGCCACATTATATTTCTATAAAAGTGAGTGGTTTCATTTTTTTCTACAAGAAAACCCGTTTTCATATGAGTAGAAAAAAATTTTCTCAATGAAAATATAAAATATTTTTTCCATAATTAACATTACATAAAAAATAATGATGAAGTTTGTACGGAATGATAGAGTCAAAGGAAGTACAGGGGAAATTAAAAAAATCTAAAGGCTAAACCTGCAATGTGAGGTTTCAAATCCTTAATCAATCTTTTCAAAAAAAAATTGGGGTCACATGATATGTCTTTTTTTATCAACGAAGGATTAGTCTCGTCTTTTTTTTGTGATGAAATTTAATGTATATGTTGTGTTAACGAGGGATAGTTTTCAAAGTCGTATTTCGAGAAGAAAGTAACAGAAAGAGATTAAATAAAAATACTTTCAGCTTATAAAAAAAAAAACAAAACTAAAACTAAAGGTCCCTTAAACTGATGTGTTATATCATTGAGAACTGAGGTTAGAGGATATGTTTTTTGTTATGAATAAAGGATTAGTCTCATTTTTTTTTTTGTGAAATTTAGAGGGCGTTTGGTACAGGAAAAAAAAAATTTATTCAGAAATCTCGATTTTCAGAGATAGAATAAAAACATTCAGTTTACGATAATATCCGAAAATTAAAAATTTAAAAAAATTCAGTTTTTCAACAATCCTCAAAAATAACTTCTACCGAACGCATTATTTTAACGAGGGATAGTTTTCAAAGCTGTATTTCAAAAAACAAAGTGACAGGAAAAGGTTAAGTAAGGATACTTTCAGGGTGCGCATGACAACCTTCCCGGAATCAATTCTTTTTTAATTTCTGTTCTCGGGAACAGAAATAGATAGGAAACTCGTTTGGTAAAACCGATTTATTTTTTTGTTCCCGGGTTGAACCGGTTTAATTTTTGTGCTGGGGAACAGGAAAAAGAATAAAATTTTTTTTGTTTTTTTGTTCCTGGGCTCAAAAAGAGAAACATTTATCTCTCTCAATCACTCTCCACCTCTACCATCATCACCACCACCACCATCATCCCGACACGACTGTCGCCACCATCGTCGCTGGCGCCATCGTACCACTAGTGCCGCCGTCACCACCACGATGTCACCGCCACCATTACCACCACCTCCACCCATCACTACCACCATGCCACCACCACCACAACTACCATCGCCGTCACCGCCATCACCGCCATCAACCACCACCACCATCATCGCAACCATTGCCATCACCGCCACCATCGCCATCACACGCCAGTGCCACCACTATCATCGCCATCACTACCACCACCACATCGCCACCACTACCATCACCACCACTGTCACCTACCACCACTACCATTGTCGCAACCACTACCGTCTTCACCACCACCACCGCTGCCGCCACCACCACCACCATCGTCACAGCCATTACTGTCATCACCACCACCATTGCCACCATTACACCAACGCCACCACTACCATCACCAAGCCACCGCCACCATCACCACCACCACCACTGTCACCTACCACCACCACCACCATGATGCCTTCACAACCACCACCATGATGCCTTCACAACCACCACCACCACCATGTCACTACTACCATTGTTGCAGCCTCCAACCACCATACCCACCACCATTGTCGCTGCCACTGCTGTCACCTCCACCACCACCATCCCCACCACTACCATTGCTGCTGCCACCATTATCACTGCCATCGTCGCAGCCACTGCCGCCACAACCACCACCACCACCACCACTATCTTCACCATGACACTGCTACCACCACTACCGTACCGCCGCCGCCGCCGCCACCACCACCACAACCACACCATGTGGAAAGGAAAGAGTTGATCCGAAATTTTTTTATATTCAATAGGAATTATTTTTTATTATATTATTTGTTGTGTTATCAAACACAATTCTCATTCTCGGAATAAAAATGGGCATGTTATCAAACACATTTTTTTCTCAGAAACTGTTCCAAGGCACAAAAATAGAAAAAAATTGTTTCTTTTCAGAAACAGTGCTCGGGAATAGAATGGTTGTCATGCACACCCTCAGCTTATAAAAAAAAAACTAAAACTAATGGTTCCCTTAAACTGGTGTGTTATATCGGCAAAAAAAATTAATTTATTGCTTTTTTAATAAAAAATTACGAATATGTAATCGTTTTGAAAATAATTACGAAAATATAGCACTCAGTCACGCCCACATGGAGCGTGTTCCAATGGAGAGACACTCCTATGTGGGGCGTGAGCCACAGGGGAACACGCCCACATGGGACGTGACCAAGAGGAGAGAAACATGCCCATATGGGGCGTGACCCATGCGGAAAACACGCCCTCTTTGGGCGTGATCTATGTGTAAGACACGCCCATTCTGGGCGTGAGTGACCCATCTGCAGCCTATTTAAACACCCACCCTCTATGCACTCTTCACAACTCTTCATCCTCATTATTCTTAAACTCTCATATTATTTCGCACTTGTTTATTTATAGTTTGCACTTGTTTATTGTTATTTTGCACTTGTTTACTCATATTTCGTTTTATCTTATTATTTTTTAATTTTAAGAATGAGTTCGAATTCTAAATTTGTTCGTGTTGTTCTATATTTTAATGGTAGGAAAGAGGAAGGTCGTTGTGGTCGTCGTGTTGTGCCCGTAACAGGGGCAGTCCCAAAAACATGCTGACACTCAGCGATCCAATCCAATGCAGTAGGTTCGGTAACTGGCTGCCCGTCAGTAAGCAAACCAAGTATACCAACCACGTCTTGTAATGTGATTGTCATCTCTTCCTGCGTCATGTGAAACATATGTGTCTCTGGTCTCCACCGTTCAACCAAAGCATTGATCAGGGCGGTATCGATCTGAAAAAAAAACAACAATTATAGAAAGTCCAGTATCGGTAATTTCATTGTAATTTAAAATTTACATACCTGAATATGACTCATACGTGCCACGTGTATGAAACCGGCCTGTGTCAGATAGTCAGCGATGATGTCTGGTATATCATCATAACGAGGTCCACCCTGAAGTTTTCCGCGCCTAGTCTTTAACCCCCTTACCTTATCCTCGTTTCACATAAGCTGTGAAACGTGAGTGCGATGTGTCCTCTTGCGAAGTACCTCCCACCTATATGGTCCAGGGAGTACATGCGTACAAGGATCGGATGGCTCAGCATCACCATCGGATCCAGAGCGCGGCGACTCTGACGAAGACGAATGGGCCATAATAAAATACTAGTACAGATGAAATTTTTTTAAACAAATATCAATGCACTTTACTAAATAGCATTTAATGAATTGATTTAAGTTATATTAATTTCAATTAAATTAACATCAATAAAACTAAATTAAAGAACATTACATTATTCGAAATTATATTTAAATAGTTTAAATAATTTAAAATCAATTTAAATTAATATTACGTACTCTATTATTTTTTTACAAACGTTAATTACAATGTATATAATTGAAAGGTCAATATGTTTGCAAGTGTCATTCATATACATTTATTAATTGTCTCTAACTAATTTCTAAGTGTGTAACTAATTCCTATCACCAGCATATACCAATCTATAAGTAACTAACTAATTTCTAAGTCCCTATCTAATTCCTAATTCACTAATATTTTTCTAACCTCTTAACAATTATCTAAGTCACTAATAACTATCAATAATTTATTGCTGTTAAAAAAAATATAAACAATAAATAGGGATTTACACGAGAGATTTCGCTATGCAAAAAACTTCGGAAGAAATGTAGAGAAAAGTTAGAGGAGTGGTTTAGAGAGAGGAAGTGAAGGATGAAATGAAGAAAAAGTGAAAAATGGAGTATTTATAGACCAGGGAGGTCACGCCCCCTCTTGAGCGTGTCTCTCTTCTAATCACGCCTGAACGTGTTTCCCATGTGGTTCACGCCCCACATGGACGTGTCTCTCTATTGGAACACGTGTGACTACATTTTCGTAATTATTTTCAAAACAACTACTTAATTTTTTATTAAAAAAAGCACTAAATTAATTTTTTTTGCCGTGTTATATCATTGAGAACTGGAAGATACAGAAAGCTGAAGAAGTTGAATGAATTTGCAGAAACCCTATAATTTCATTGGAGCTTGACATCTCGAATCTGCGGAAATGGGTGCGAGTCGAAAGCTTCAGGGGGAGATAGATCGTGTTCTGAAGAAGGTCCAAGAAGGCGTCGAGGTCTTCGATAGCATTTGGAATAAGGTCCTTCTCTTCTTCTTCTTCGTTTTTGATTTCCACTGTTTCCGACAAAATCACGTGAATCAATGGTGGTTTCTCTCGGGTTTAGGTTTACGACACGGACAATGCGAACCAGAAGGAGAAATTCGAGGCTGACTTGAAGAAGGAGATTAAGAAGCTGCAGAGGTATAGAGACCAGATTAAGACTTGGATTCAGTCCAGTGAGATCAAGGATAAGAAGGTTCTTACTTTTTCTTTTTCTTTCCCTTCTTTCTTCTTTCTATCTTATGCTGCATATTATGTTATCGTATGTTATATTATTAGGCATAGAATGGTATCTGAAATGATTTGGATCATTAACTAATTCTCTCATAAGCATGAAAAATGCACATGTGCAATCTGAAATTTAACTTTTATCTAGAAGAATGAGAGTAATGAGGCTCGTCTTACAATTTATATGGTTATAGAGGCTCTTAAACCATATCTTGAACCAACTCAAAGACAGATGAAAAGTTTTATGTCTAGCAATTTGAATAAGTAAGAATAAGACCAATAGAAGCCCTAGTTAGAAGAGTTGATCATACAAAGGAAGACAAAGAAAAACTTTGTTCGAAAACATTAAAAAGGATTTAGATTTAAATGCCCTATATGAAGAATTGCAAGGGATTCTAATCAAGCAAGACTTATATTTGTTTGAGTTAGGAGGGGCAAATATTGTGCTTGGATTAGGCTGGGTATTTGGGCTGGGAGAGATAAGGACTATTCAAGGAGAGAACCTTGAAATATAAATATGCTGACACAGACGTGATGATCCAAGGAGAACCATCCTTATCTTGTGTAGTGGCGTTTCTCAAATCCATGGCCAAGGCTTTTTCAGAAGAGGGTCAAGGATACTATATGGGTACTACTCAAGGAGTCAAAGAAGCTAACCAAGCTGTGTGGGAGGAATTAAACTCGTTACTTGAATAGTACTTAGGTATGTTCTAAGAACCTAAGGAGTTTCTCCAAGAAAGAAGTTGTGACCATGCAATTACATTGATACCCGGCGGGAACCAAGTGCCGAACATTAGGCTTTATAGTATCCCCTTTACCAAAAATCCGAGATAGAGAAATTGGTGAATGATTTGTTTTTTAATAGGTTAATGTTGGTACCCAAAATGAATTACAGAAAGAGTTACAGAAAATCACAGACTCCACTGACTATGGAACCAATAACAATCAATAATGACTCAGAATTCACACTTTTATTAATGGCAATTCAAGCTATCTCACCACCGTGACAATAACTTGTGACAGTACAAACGTTCAAAGACAGTAATTAAAAGACAGAAATTAAGAGACACCTTCTCCCTCAATCAACTATCCGATTGAGAGAAGAATCACTACTCCCCTGATACAGCAGCTGGTACTCTATTCCCAGTGCACCCAAACCCTTTTCAGATTCATCCATGCCCTCCTCATTCCCCACTAACTAACTTATATTCTGAATCCTCTCCTTCACTCTCTTCACCACCAATATTCCCTTCCCCATTCACAGCTTGCCACGTGTCCAATCTTGTAACTAACTTTGTGTTGCCTTCAGCCTTTCCTTTATGGGCCTTTCGTTTGTACACCCTATCATATGGCTGAAGAGGCCCATCAGTTAATAAAGTATAACATTAGCCCTTTATTCAAGTTCAACGATATTGGTAAGTAAGAAAGATGGGAATTGGATAGTATGTGTGGATTATAGAGTTTAAAATAAGCTTACCATCCCAAACAAGTTTTCAATTCTAGTTGTGGATGAGTTATTGGATGAGCTAGGAGGGTCTAGGGTGTTTTCAAAATTGAACCTGAAGTCTAGGTATCATCAAAATTAGAATGAAGTAGTAGGACATCCCAGTCCCCCATTTGAAGTAGATGCAGTTTTTAATAAGTTGGTGGTTGAGAGGAATTCAATTCTGGATGAATTGCATGACCATCTGATTCAGGTACAGAACAAGATGAAGTGTCAAGCTGATACTTATAGAAGGGATGTTCAATTTCAAGTTTGTGACTTGGTTTATCTTTGATTGTAGGAATACAGTCTCAAATCACTTGCCGCTCGTTCCAATGAAAAACTTAGGCCTCGATATTATGACCCATATCTAATTAGTTAAAAGATAAGGGAGGCTACATATAAGATGTTGTTGCCAGATGGGAGTAAAGTTGATCCAGTTTTCCATGTTTCACTTCTCAAAAAGGCAATCGCACCTAATGCTACTTCCTATTCCTTGCCTCCTATGCTGACTGCAGAATGGGAATTAGTGATGGAACCTGAGGAGTTACTTCAGTGGAGGAAGACTAGTTGTGACGTATTGGAGGCTCTCATTAAATGGAAGCATCTGCCACTTTTTGAGTTTACTATCTCAAAGCTGTTCCGTGACTAATATAAATCATTAAAAAGGCCCACACCCAACACCTTAAGGTTTTGGGTTGAAGTGGTTCTTTACATGGTATCAGAGCTTGAGTGACTACAAGGTCACAAGTTCGATCCTCACCGGCCCCCACTTTAAAGTGGAATTAAAATAAAAAGCATAAAAGGTAAACCAAAAATTGAGCCTGCGCAATATCCATACTTCTAGCCAAAAGGGCTCTTGCGTGAAGGGGTGTGTTAGTGAATAATATAAATCATTAAAAAGGCCCTTACCCAACACCTTAAGGTTTTGGGTTAAAGTGGTTCTTTACAGTGACTTCCACCTTGAAGACAATACGGTTCAATTTGTGGTGGGGCGGGCCGGGGCCCGGGGGGAGTATAAATATGACCCAACCCCCTGAAATGTATACTAGAAATAAAAATAGAAAAGTTTGGATTGTTAATAGGGCCCACACTCAAAATGGTGAGAACATTCAGCAACAAACTAGTAATATGTTAGTTGGCAAGTTCCCAAGTCAACAAGGGTGCCCTTGCTCCCCCTAATAGTGGTGAGAAGAAGTTAGTGGTACTTTTGGAAGATTTTGGACTTGGCTATGTTTGGGAGAGAACCAAAGCCTCTCTAATTGCTCTGGGTGTTCATTTCTCAATGTTTCTTATGTTTTTTCTTCTCTTGTTCTTCCCATTTTCATTCTCAATGCTAAGCTCATATACTCACTATATTGTATTGGGCTATTGATTTGCATTAATACACAAAATTTTGGAGATGTTTTACTTCCCTGTTTCTTCCCTATTTCCTTTTCTGTTATTGTTACCTATCAACTAGTAAAGGCCATTTGGACTCATAGCTGATGGCAATTGTCCTCCCATAACACGTCCTTCAAAAAAATTTCTAGTAAAGGAAATGTGACAATCAAGAGAACGGATTAAATGATTAATGTAAGGGAGATTAAAGGGAGTACTAATAGTAATGACATAAAACACATTATCTATTGTAAGTGAAGGAATAGGATGGGCGCTGCTAACCCCGTAAGACTTTACTTGAGAACAATTTGCAATGGTGATAGTGGGAAAGTAGCCAAAAGTTGATAGGGAGGAGAATAAGGACCAAGGACTGGAATGAATAACCCAAGGACCGAGGGATTATGATTAATAGTGACTAGCAAAAGAATTATCTGTGTGCGCAATAGAGGTAGTGGAACCGAAGGCCTAGCGTGCCTCGTTGCATTTAAGAAAGTCATCTTCTGCAACTGGAGTTGGCAAGGTTGGCTGTGCAAGGAGTAGGGATGGCAAAGTGGGCAGCCTGCCCCGCCCCGCCTCGCCATCATCCCGCCAAAAAATGAGTTAGCCCGCCCCGCCCCGTTTGGCGGGTTGGGCGGGTTGGCCCGCCAGCCCGAGCCTATTTTACACTGACCAGCCTCGGCCCGCCTATGCCCGCCATCAACCCGCCAAAAAATGAGCCCGCCCCGCTTTTCAGATGGGTTGAAAAACTAAGCCCGCCCCGTCCCGTTTAGCGGGTGGGGCGGGTTGGCCTGCCGAGCCGAGCCCGTTTTGCCATCTCTAGCAAGGAGGGCAGCCATAAAGATCCGAACCCAACACTTGTCAATAGAATGATTGATTAGGTGGCAATGGGTGTGCTAAAAATGATTGTTGTTGGACTTATGACTATGACCAATACCCTAAGAGACAAGGACATAGGAATCAACTAGAGAAGGAGGCATGTCAGGCTCATTGGGATGGTTGGATAGGATCTGGAGCAAAGAGGACCAAGCAAAATCAGGCAAAATATGATCATTGTTGGCAGGATACTCCAAAGGAAAACCATAAAGGAGGGTTATCAACATGAGAAACATACTCCATTGAATTATAATGTATGAATGTATTGTATTCAATTGTGTATAGAACTGTACAAAAGACCTCTATTTAAAGAGGTTAAATGACCTAATGGGCCAAGCCAAATAACCTGCTAGAATAACAGAATAATAAATAATACATTCCTATATAATATTATATTATTTCTAACACTCCCCCTCAAGCTGGTGCGTATATATCATAAGCTCCCAGCTTGTTACATATATGATCTATTCGGGGACCTCTCAGAGCCTTGGTGAAAACATCTGCAAGTTGATCACTGGAATTGACAAATGCTGTTTCTATCTCTCCTGATTGAATCTTCTCTCTGACAAAGTGACAGTCAATTTCTATATGTTTGGTCCTCTCATGAAAGACTGGGTTAGAGGATATATGCAATGCTGCTTGATTGTGTATTTAAATTATAATGTATGAATGTATTGTATTCAATTGTGTATAGAACGATACAAAAGACCTCTATTTAAAGAGGTTAAATGACCTAATGGGCCAAGCCCAAATAACCTGCTAGAATAACAGAATAATAAATAATGCAATCCTATATAATATTATATTATTTCTAACACATTGCTCAAGTTCCTTTACTGGTGTCTTGGCTGGGGTAAGGAGCTCATTAAAGTCATGGGGAATCCGTTTTATCTTCCTTGAATATGCAGACATAAGGCCATCAAATCGTCAAGGCGTGATAGACACTAAGTATTATTAGTGTACAAGTCCCTGGCTTGCTTTCAAATGGACTTGCAAGTCATGCGTGCTTGGAAAATTTGCATCAAAGATGGATGAATAGTTGATTTAATAATGCTACACCATTGGGCATCAACTTTAATCCATTTAGGATGCTTAATAGCGAGCATAGAGTCAGCCATTGGATGAGGTGGTCTTTATAATCTTTGGCTTTCGCTTAATAGCGAGAATAGAGTCAGCCATTGGATGAGGTGGTATTTATAATCTTGCCTAGAAAGGCAAAGTTTAATGTCAGAAGCCCAAATGTCATACCATCCAATTTGTCCATAGAGAGAGGGACATGGACATAATTATTGACGAGAGCCTCGGGCTTTAAAACATCCCTATGAGTGGTAGAAGAACTATATTCAGCCATGGTAGTTATTGAAAATGATAGCTTTATGCTTCAAAACATCCCTAGGAGTGGTAGAAGAACTAGATTTGGCCATATGTCAAGCGAGACAATAGAGGAAAAGGAATGGAGCACAATGAATAATGACGAGAGAACTCCAAACAGTAATGGAAAGTGCAGAGCTATGCAGATCAGGGGACAAACGGGGATGATAGGGCAGATTAGATCTTGTGCAGCAGGAAAAGGGATGTCACTCTATCATGTGTGTTCCTGATTGGACAGATGCGCTGCTGACTAGAAAACTTGTGCGTGGTTGACTTGCTTGGCCATAAACTTCCATGCATAGGCTGAGTTTGATGAGGTGATTCAGATTGCTAGGACACTATCCAGAAATCTCGCCTGAAATTTTTTTGGGATGGAAAACATTGATGGTGGTGATTGGAGATGTGATGGACGATGGCTAAGATGGTTGCCAAAAGGGCTACCTAGCAAGAGACATCGAAAGATGGATGGACTACACAATTTCCAGAAATATATTGAAGCCGATGAACAGTGGGTCCATCAATTAAGCACAAATTAGGGACTAGAGTTGCCTCTCGTCAGACTCTCAATATCATGTTGAATAATGAGAAAATGAGAGGGATATGATGAATCCATGTGTTTGAATTACACAACGGAGGCTCTATTATACACATAATACTAAATTACTAGTGTGAGACTTCATCCTTCACAACTGACTGTCCTAATTACAATATTTATATACCTTCCTATAATTACATTTTAATGATGCATATTATGGTTCATATGGAGCAAATTGTTTATTGTTCTTTGATGGTGAGCAATCAGTAATCACATCATGATTAAGTGTGGATTTTAACTTCTTTGTTTTGAATTTGACAATGTTTTCTCTTTTGACTGATCATGACGTAGGTTAGTGCCTCATATGAGCAGGCTCTGGTGGATGCACGCAAGCTTATTGAGCGTGAAATGGAAAGATTCAAGATCTGTGAAAAGGAGACTAAGACCAAGGCATTCTCCAAAGAAGGCTTGGTTCAACAACCTAAAACTGTGAGTCTTTGACCTTGGGAAATATACTTGTTTTAAGTTTTTTACTTTGGGCTTTTTGTGGTGTATTATGATTATGCTTATGTCTGTTATGGGCTGAGAGTATCTCATTCTCAATGTTTTGTGACAGGATCCTAGAGAGAAGGCTAAATCAGAGACAAGGGATTGGTTGAACAATGTGGTATGAAATCAGTTGCTATGAATAACTATCAGCTTTGCTTTTGTTGTGCCCATAGTACAGCAATTACTTGTTGCATGAATAGCTTGCATGCCTTAATATAACTTAATCGTGTTAGGCAAATGATCAGCGTGGTTGCTTTGTATTTGATGATTCTTGCAATATGATAAAGTTTATAATGCAGGTTGACTGTTAAGAGACCTTTCCACTGATGGAAATTTATTACTTCGAATTTGTTCTTAAAATTTGCTTTCCTAACAATGCTGTCAAGTGCCTATTTTCCTCATGATTCTCATTGGGGTGTCTATAAAATGGTGTATTATATAGAGGATATTATATTAGTTTGAATTGCATACTTATATCTTGTTTGGAGAATGTTATTTTCTTAAATGTTGAGTAGGTCGGGGAGTTAGAGTCTCAAATCGATAGCTTTGAAGCTGAGCTTGAAGGGCTTTCCGTTAAGAAAGGAAAGAGCAAGCCACCCAGATTGGTATGAAATAAAGCAAATACGTTTTAAGGGACTGATGGTATATCTTTCTCATGGCTATTCAAATGTTTCTTTTGTTTCTCAGACACATCTAGAGACATCAATTACTCGGCACAAGGCTCATATAAAGAAATGTGAATTAATCTTGAGGCTACTAGATAATGATGAATTAAGTCCTGAGCAGGTTAATGATGTCAAAGATTTCCTGGATGACTATGCAGAGCGTAATCAGGTTTGTTTTTTGGAACTTTTACTGTTGCTGTTCTGCTTTGAAAAGTCAATCACTATCACTGAGTAAATGTTGATATATCTACCCTTTTGTTTAGTCCTTCCAGAGAGTCTTTCGTGGTTGATACTAAGAAAAATATATGAAATTGTATTAGCTTTCTTTCATTTCCATTTTTCATTTTATTTTACAGGAAGACTTTGAAGAATTCAGTGATGTCGATGAGCTATACAGTCAATTACCCTTAGACAAGGTGGAGTCGCTTGAAGATCTAGTTATAATTCCCCCTGGTCTTGCTAAGGTATTTGTTTAATTGTTATTGCTTTGTTGCAAATACAGAGCGCTGCACAGCCACACACTAACACATACTGATGCATTTATAAATGTAAAGAACCAATTTAACCCAAAAGCTTAAGCTATTGGGTGAGGCTACATTAATGATTTTATATACCTCAACATGCCCCCTCACATGAGAGCCCACTGGGCTTGAAGGGTGGACGATACACAGGCCCACCTACCTGTGCGGAGAAAGAAATTCCATTAGAAAGAAAGTGGGAGGCGGTGAGGATCGAACCCGGTACACCGAGGCATTGATACCATGTAAAGAACTAATTCAACCCAAAAACTTAAGCTATTGGGTGAGGTTACATTAATGATTTTATATATCTCAATAATAAATTTGTGGTATGGGCGGTACACCGAGGCATTAATACCATGTAAAGAACTAATTCAACCCAAAAACTTAAGCTATTGGGTGAGGTTACATTAATGATTTTATATATCTCAACAATAAATTTGTGGTATGGGGTTGGGATATATGAATTAATTTGTGTGCTCATAAATTTTCCCCTCCATGCCATATTGGTTTATCTGTTTTCTAATGCTAATATATTTGTTTTTAGAGTTAGCTTAGGGTATGTTTTACATACATACATATATATATATACATACATACATATATATATATACATACATATATATATATATATATATATATGCCTTTTCTGCCCATCTATTACCTTTTGGTTGCAACCCTCTGACCTAGATGTGATGACTTGTTGCAATCCATATTTTATGCTGACATTAGAAATTTTCTCTATAGGAATTCCTAATTTATTATCTTTTCTGACAGGTGGCACCTGTGCTTAGCTTTAAGCCTCCTTCAGTACCATCAGCATCAGCTTCAGCATCACAGACATCTGTATGTATTTCTTGTTTCTGTGACCAGAAAATATTTCTTATGTGCCAAAGTTATTGAAAATTGAAAAGTAAGGATTTCAGAAATCTTTACTGGGATATTTATGCATATATGCAGTTTATTTTCCTCAATGATATGCCTGCAAAAGATATTTTGTTGCTAAAAGGAGGCTTATTTTATCCCTCTAATTGTTATTTGATGGCTTGCAATGATGATAAGTAATGCATTATACAAGTTCTGATCAGTTTTGGTTAAGGATATGTGTATTCGACTCCAAGTTTACTGGAATTTTGATTTATATTTGTCAAACGAGATACTTGTTGTTATTGGTATTGTATCATAGGATATCATTGCAAAGTGATGAATAGCTTAAGAAAAATAATGTAAAAAATTGTATGCCTATGAAATGAAGAAAATACTCAAAATAGTAGTTTCAACCCACTTTTAACAATATCAATGTTACATATGGTACTGGATACTCTAAGTTTAGCAATTTCTCTGATGGCATATTGATCTAATGTTACCTTATTGAAAATATTAGTAAAGGTTAGATCATGTTTATAGTATCACCAAGTGCATGTGGCTGAATTACCAGACCACCAGTTAAGGGGATAAAAAGACTTCATCCTTGTTAGGTGCCATTTAAGTTGATAAACATTATTGATGGTTCCCTTTCCAGGAAACTCTGACTTCTAATGATCAAGATGCTTCTGTCCTGGAGCAAGCTGATGATACAGCTTCCCAAGATAGCAATTCTGACATTGGTGCGAGAACTCCACCTCCTAAAAGTGGTGTAGTTAGTTCTCCTACCTCAACACCAGCAGGGAATCTTGGTACTCCTGTTTCTACAAATGTTCCAGTACAAAACTTGTCCAGTGGGCCGGCTGTTGCATCAGTTATGCCTGGTTCAAATTCAGTTTGGAGTCCCTTGGAGATTAATAGTGCTGTCAGTCCTTCATCTTCTGTAAATCAGTCTACCAATATGAAGGAAGAAGAAATTAATAGCTTCCCTGGGCGGAGACCATTTCCATCGCTTTCTGATGCTGCACTTGTAAGGAATGTCAGCAGAAACTCCCTTTCAAATCAAGCAACAACTAATGTCCCTCTTTTTTCTGGTAACATGGTTTCCAGCAATGCGGCCCCTGGTTCAGTCCCTTCAGCCTCTGAAATAACTAAGAGAAACATATTGGTAGCTGAAGATAGACTTGGAAGCAATGGGATGGTGCAGCCACTTGTATCCCCCCTAAATAATAGAATGATCACGCCTCAGGTTGCAAAGGCTAATGATGGAATTGCCTCTGTTGACTCTAATGTTAATGAAGCTGCAGCTGTGTCTGGGAGAGTTTTCTCCCCTTCGGCAGTTCCAGGGATGCCATGGAGACCTGCAAGCCCCTTCCAGAATCAGAATGAGGGGGTAAATATTTGTCTTGAATCTTCTTTTGCTTTAATGGTTCACCCACCACATTCATTTTGTTGATTTGTTGAATTTAAAGTGGGAACTGTTGGTTAATTTTCTTCTTCAATTATATGACTGCGTTATTTATTGCTGGTCTAACTTGGAATTTTCTTGTATTCAGCTGTATTGATTGCAAGTTGTTTATATGGTTTCAAACCAAAGAAAGATTTGTAATGTTTGTTAATGGACAATAGCAAAGAAAATAATTATGTGCAATTAGATTGTGTTATACTATTGGTTGTTGTTCATTTAGTTATTGAGAGGCATAAAAGGATATCAAATTCTCCATTTCTCCGATCAAAATCTCGCTAAATACTGAACCTGTGTGTGTGACTGAAGTCTAGAATCCATTTTTTTAATAAACCGAGTCATACCTATAGGTAGTTAAATTGAAAGCCATCATTAGTTTATTGTACATTATTCTTTTCATTTTATTGTACTACCTGTCATATAATATTGAGTACCTTAAAGATAAATTTTCACATAGGAGACACGCTAAAGTATACATGTGTTGATATATAAAAATATCCCGTGCTTTAACGTATCTGTATGGAATCCAATGATATTGGTGGATATTTCTAGAACAGTAGAACAAATATGCATATTTCAAAATGAATTTTGTATACAACAATTGATTGGTTTATCATTGTAGGAGACTGGAGCTCACCACCACAGCTGTATGATCATAGTCTGAACTAAAAGACCATTTCATTAGCCATGTGATGAATTTCTTTAATTGAGATCTAAAATGAATTTTGTATACAACAATTGATTGGTTTATCATTGTAGGAGACTGGTGCTCACCACCACAGCTGTATGATCATAGTCTGAACTAAAAGACCATTTCATTAGCCATGTGATGAATTTCTTTAATTGAGATCTTTCATGCTTGATTTAGTGGCTTTGGTGGTCTTCCATTCATTTAAGATCTGTGCTTCTGCTATTTATATATGCAGCAATGCATTCTGTGGACAAGTATGTATGTAAGCACATAAGATTGTATGATGCATGAATGCATTTACATGCGACATAATTACATGGGTGCACATATAGTATATGTCAGATACATACATACGTAGGTGGTATATCAAATACTGTTTTTTGTTTCAGTTCTAAGCCCAGTTGTACCATTACAACTAGGTTGCTTTATATAGGTACCTTATTTTTTCTTTTTCATTAATGATGGGTTTGTGAAGCTATAGATTTTTAGTTAGTTAGAAATGCATTGTTCTGACATGCAGAATGGGACTAGAAGCATAATACAACAATGCAGAATGGGACTAGAAGCATAATACACTAATTAGTACTTTTGTAATAACAAAGAAGGAATTTCAGGAGGTGGAACATATCCTGTGTATTTTGTTGTTTTATATGTTTACGTAATACCTTTGAGGGGACTTACTCATTTTAACTTCAGGGCCAGATTCGTGGAAGAACTGAAATAACTCCTGATCAAAGGGAAAAGTATTTGCAGAAGTTGCAGCAAATGCAGCAACAAGGGCCCCTTCTAAATATGTCTTCTCTAGCTGGAGGAAATCATAAGCAGTATTCTGCTCAGCAACAAAATCCTCTATTGCAGCAGGTGCTATTTCTCTGTTTTTTTTTTTTTTTGGGGTTCTTTTACCTATAATTTGAAGATTCATTGTGGGCCAAAAGCCCTATTTGCGACAGTTTCTTCCTTTCCTCTGTCTCTTCAAAAAATGTATTGCATTCTTGTTAATAACTCTTAATGTAATCGTTGTGATTAGAAAATTAAAATTACATCCATGCTTCTAGTTTGTTTTGAATTGACCGCCTCATTTCGATTTTTTGCATTGTCAGGGATCCTTGAAAAATGTAGCCTAAATATGCAATCCATACATTTCTTCTAGTATTTTTTAGTCATACAATTTCTCCTTGGGATCTTCACTGTAAACACTTTGTGCTTCTTGATATGATTGCAAGTAAATTTGGAAGTGGATTTTTAATCTTTGCTTCTCTAGGAATGATAAAGAAAATTTGGAGAAAAATAAGAGCCCCATTTCGTTTTACAGAGTTTAAATTTACAACCTCTCATTATGGTTGAATTATGAAGCATTAATAAAATAGGAAAAGTTTAAATTGTTAAGACCAATGTTATTAAACTCGACCCGGGGATTGACCCGGTTGAGGCACTGGGTCATTGGGTGACCCACTAGTTGAACCGCATGACCCGGTAAGTATGCAAATTTATAATTCATATTAAAAAAACTATAAACATACTCAAATACCCATAAAGCATATACTAGTTTCAAATATTTTAATATGAAAAATAATAACTTACACACCATTATCCAACAAAGAATCAAACAAATATATAATACTTTTCCTATCCTTAAACATTTAATATCTATCACAATTAGCCATAATTTTGTTTTAAACAAGCCCCAGCAGGACAGTTACATGGGAATGATACTTCTTTGAAGCTGGGAGTTGGTTGTGGTTTTCTATATCTGATCGCAGCAAGTAAAAATGAGCTTGGCAAGATGGCTGAGTTGCGGAAAGAAATGGAAATGCTTCTTCAAAATGTGAAAGGGAACTACAAAGTAAAAATGCGCCTCTTAAGCCACTGAAACAAAGTGATGCTCTTGCATGTTCCATCACTGACATTCAAGAAGCTTCTAGCTCTAGTAATTATCTTTCAGTTCACTCACAAACACCATATGCTCACCCAATTCCAAAAAGCAATATGGTTCATAATTGTTTTCTAGAATATAAGATAAGTGAACAAGATAGATGTGCAGAAGAAATAAATGAGCTCCTGGCAGAATTTGAAATTTACTATGGTTGCAGCTGTATTTGGATGGAGAAGCTGCATTTAAAGATGAACAACAAGAAAGAGTAAAGGTAGATTGTTTCGTAGTTTGATTTCTCATGATTATTTTTGTTTCCTGATTCTGATATGTGATGAACAACTTTATACCTAGATGACTCAACCACGAAAGGAATAAGTTTGCGCAAGTTTAAAACAAAATATCGAAAGAAAAACTAAGAAGTCCCACATCGGCCTTAATGTACACTGCAAAAAGCCTTATAAACCATACAAAAGTAGTGATTGACGTAAAATTTGGCTGCTGGTGATGTCTTGGTTGTTGTTGACCGGGTTGTTGCTGACTCGTTGGTTCACGGGTTTTTACAAACTCGGTCGGTCAAACCCGGGCGACACCGGTTTAGTAGCAGGATTGATCTGATAACAAACTCGAATTGCATCGGGGACTAGTTCACCAGTTTCTGGGTTGAACCGCCCGGTCCGAGCCGGTTTAATAACATTGGTCAAGACCTCCAAAACTCATTTTAGCAACAATAAACAATTTTTATCCCCCTAATTGGGTTGGCTATATGAATCAATCGATGCAATTGGGTTTTGTTGGAAACCATGTAAATAATGTCTAGGTTCATACTTACCTAGGTTTATTGTACATTTTTGGCTTTATAATCTTCTCTCCTTTGTGTAGTTGATACACAAATTTCACCAAATATGTTGTTTCCTCCTTAATCAATATGGAATCAGATACTAGCAAGATGCAACCCCGTTCTATGTCTATCTGATGGACGCATTGCCCATCGATGACAAAATTCTTTCAGAATTTATGTTTCCACTCTGTTTTTGTGGGCTCTCTGGTTGTGCTATCCTTTCGGCCACCTATTGTCAATAATCCCTCTCTCCTCACCAGGTGTCAATATCGATGAGGCAGTCCCACCAAGCTTCTTTCTGGCAACATTTCTATGCTCGTCAACTTTTCCAATGACCAGAAATCAGATCAAGAAACTCCCGAATCTAAAGTCTCATCTAGGCCGTCCTGCTTTAGGAGGCTGACATCATCCATTGCTCCAAGCTGAGTCAAAGCCCGCCACTGTTAGCTTCTGTCCATTGTCGTGCGTCGACCATACCATCAAACTCGTCTCATCTAGAGTGGCGCATACCTAGCGGTTCCTGGCCAAACCAATCTTCCACGCGTCTTCCTTTTGTCAGCATTTGGATCCACACACCACCTCAGCCGTTGCGTGTGGTGGCATGTCCAGGAGGTCCAGCACAATCTCCAGCCACCGTTTGTTTCACAATACTCAACCTTCTATCCTCTACCCTAGATTTGACCTCACTTCATCCAACCAACACTATTTAGATCCACATGTAACCATTGCCACGATCTGACCACCCTTGCAGTCCCTCGGATGGATCCTTCGTGCGTTGCCCCTCCTTTTTTCTGGTGGTGTCTCTCCTTCCTTGTCGTCCGACAATGCTTTTGGTGTGAAGATTGGCCGCGTCACAACACCCAACTCCCTGGTTTGCAATTCCTAAGTGCATGTTGACATGAGTTTCATCATAGGATGGATCTGTTGAATGTGGGTGGCCACAAACTAGCCTGAACACGAAGGTTGGCCTCTAATTGATTTTTAGGGAGATTTCCAGTTGGCTATGTGTTTGAACGCGAGGTTGAAGCTATTGAAATTGTTTTCAAGTTGATTTGATGGTTTTGGCTTCCTATTTGTGATGTTTTTAAGGTCTGGTTTCTTGACTTTCTGCATGACTTTTCAATCTTTGTGCTGGGTGGGCTGTTTTTCTAATTTTGGCTTGCCTTTTGTCTTTTGTCTTCTACTATTGTTGTCTGCTTCTGTGGTTTCTATTTATGGCTGGTCAATGCCGATTTTTATGTTTCTAGTGCAATTCTGAAGCTTTCTTGGTTCAGCACAACTGCTTGCGTCATCTCACCGCTGATTTTAGTTCCTTTTCTTCCTGCTTGTGATTTTTTTCTTACCGATGAGTCATACGATGATGAATTAATAATAATTTGACTATGATTTACACCAGCTTCCTATTGCGAATCATACCAATGGTGATTTCTCCTATCTCACCAATGAGTTATGCCAACAATGATTTCTCTATGGCTATAATACACATCGACCTCAATTTCAATTTCTACTTTTTGGAACTCCTAAGTTTCTTGTGCTTTGTGACTTCCAAATGTTTTTCTTGCTGAACTTGGAAGATAATCTTTAGTACGGGGACATTTCCGCTGATGATCATTCCAACACGTAGATGGTGAGTGTTGCGGGCAAGAAATGCCCAAGGGTTAAGGATGCGATTGGTAAGCTGGAACATAGGAACCCTAATGGGTAAATTGAGGGAGTTAGCATATGTTTTTGCTAGAAGGAAAGTGAATATTTCTTGCTTGCAAGAACCTAAGTGGGTTGGGGAAAAAGTTAAGGAAGTGGAAGGTACTTGTTTCAGGCTGTGGTACACAGGTATAAACAAGACTAAAAAGGGTGTTGGGATTATGATTGATAGAAGTTCCAGAGATAGAGTTGTTGACGTCAGAAGAAAAGGCGACATGATAATTTTGGTTAAGCTTGTAGTAAGAGATTTAATTTTGAATATCCTCGATGTGTATGCCTCCCAAGTTGGATTGCAATTAAACGATAAGAACCAATTTTGGGAAGATTTGGAGGAGGTTTTGAGGGGACACCATGACAAGATAAGATTTTTATAGGAGGAGATTTAAATGGTCATGTTGGTAAAAATAACGGAGGTTTTGATAGAATTCATCGATGTGTATGCCTCCCAAGTTGGATTGCAATTAAACAATAAGAACCAATTTTGGAAAGATTTGGAGGAGGTTTTGAGGGGATACCATGGCAAGATAAGATTTTTATAAGAGGAGATCTAAATGGTCATGTTGGTAAAAATAATGGAGGTTTTGATAGAATTTATGTAGTTTATGGCTATAGGACGAGAAATGAAGCTGGAGAAGATATCTTAAACGTTGAACTAGCTTATTATTTGATGCTAGCGAACATCTTTTTTTCGAAAAAAGGTAGTCACATTTAATCACATATCATAGTGGTCAAAATCATAACCAGATTGATTTTTTTCTGGATAGAAGAGAAGATAGAACCTCATATGACTATAAGGTCTACCCTGGAGAATGTGTCACTACATAACATTAGCTCGTAGTTCTAGGTGTTCGGTCAAACAAAGTACATAAAATGTGGAAGAGTTCTTAGGCACCAAGGATAAGATGATGGAAGCTAAATGAGAAGAAACAGATAGAGTTCAAAGAAAAAATTCTTCATGAAGGACCATGGCAGTTTGATGGAGGATCAAATGAAATGTGAAATGAGATGGCTATGTGTATCCAAAATGTGGGAAGAAAGGTGTCAGGAGAAAGCATGGGGAATGAATTTCAAACAAAGGAAACGTAGTGTTGGAATGAAGAGGTGCATGAGACAATTAAACACAAGAAGGAATGTTTTAGATGTTTGCATAAAAGACCTAATGATGAGTACTTGCAAAAGTTTAGATTGGTGAGAAAAAATGTAAAGAAAGTAGTGCGAGAAGCTACAGGCAAGGTTTTCGCCGATTTGTATAAAAATCTTAAAGAGTAAGGGTGGTGATAAAGGTATACATAAATTTGTAATAATGAGGGATAAGAAAAGTAAAAATCTTAACCAAATTTAGATGCATCAAGGATGAAAATAAATAACATTTGGTAAGAGATACAGAAGTAAAAGCAAGGAAAATGAACTACTTTAACAAGCTTTTTAATAGGGATACGATAAGAGCGAGGTGGATTTGAAGTACTTTTATGATGATTTGAATAGAAGATTTGTGCGCAGAATCAAAGAACAAGAAGTTAAGGAGGCTTTAAAGATGATGAAGGGTAGTAAAGCTTTGGGACTCAATAATGTCCCTGCTGACCAATCTTTTCAATACGATTCTCCAAACAAATAAGATGCCTGATGTATAGTGAAAAAATATACTTGTACCTATTTACAAAAACAAGGCAGATATTCAGAATTGTTCTAATTTTAGAGGCGTTAAACATATAAGCCATACTATGAAATTATGGGAGAGTTATTGAATATTGCTTAAGGAGAGAGACCAAGGTTTTTGTAAATCAATTTGGGTTCATGCCAGGAAGATATACCATGGAAGCCATTTTCTTAATGTGACAATTAATGGAAAGGTATCGAGAAAAGAAGGATTTACATATGGTGTTTATAAATATTGAGAAAGCATATGATAGGGTTCTAAGAAAGGTTCTGCGGTGATTTCTTTAGAAGAAAATAGTACCATCAAAGTATGTAGATGCAATCAAGAATATGTATAATGGTATTACTACATGTGTGATAGCTTATAATGGAACATCAAGTTATTTTCCTTTCACGGTAGGTATATACCAAGGTTCTGCTCTAATTCCTTATGTTTTTGCCCTAGTTATGAATTAACTAATAAAAGATATCCAAGAGGAAGTGTCATGATGTATGCTTTTTGTAGATGATATTATACTCATTAATGAGACCAAGACTAGTGTTAATATAAAACTAGAATTATGGAGAAGTACGTTGGAGTCTAAGTTAAGACAGAGCAAGATTGAGTATATGAAGTGTGAGTTTTCCCTAGTAAGAGATGAAGATCAAGATTTCGTGCATCTGCTTGGACAAGAGGTACTCAAGAAATATGCTTTTATATATCTGGGATCAATTTTGTAAAAAGGTGAAGAGATTGATGGGATGTAAATCATAGAATCAGAGTAGGGTGGATGAAAATGGCATAGTGCATCAGGGTTTTGGTGTGACCACAAAATAGCCCTTAGGCTAAAAAGAAAATTCTATAGAACAACTATAAGACCTGTAATGTTAAATGGAGCTGAATGTTGGCCAACACGTAGTCAACATGAGCATGAAATAGGAGTAACCAGGATGGATGAGATAAGAAATGAAGATATTCGACAAAAGTTAGGGGTAGTACCGTAGTTGAAAAGATGAGAGAACATAGATTGAGGTGGTTTGGACATGTAATGAGAAGACCCTTGGATGCTCCCGTAAGAACAAAAGTTTGTTATCAAGAGCTTGATACAAAGAGAAGAAGAGGTAAACCAAAACTTACTTGGAGAAAGGTAGTAAAACAAGATTTAATGGAGTGAGATATAGAATAACGGATGGTGCGTCTTAAGACGAATTGAAGAAAAGCTATTAGCTTAGCGGAGGGTTAGACCTGTTTTTCTTCTTATGAGATGATCCCCTTTTTTGTTCTTTTCCTCTTTATCTCCCCTCACTTTCTTCCGTTACCTCCCTTTTTTTCTTTTATTTTTTTTTCATTTTAATCTTTTTCTCTTATTTATTTATTTATGTATTTTTTTATTTTAATTTTTCTGCCCCTCTTTCTTTATTTTTATTTTTTATTTTTACTTTCTTACTCTTTTTTGTCCTTTTATATATCTTTATTTTCACTTTATTTTAATTTATTTGTTCTTTTAACTGTTTACTGCAATTTTTTTTATGGATAATGTTATATATATTTTATTTTATTTTTAATTTTATTTTTATCTTTTTCTCTCAATCTTTTTGTACTTTTCATTTGGGTTCATCTGCCACCGATCCTAACTAGTTTGGGATAAAGGTATTGTCTATGTTAATGATGTTGGTATCATTCCAACAAAGTCTCTTCTTCCTTGCGTTATTTCAACTAGCGCTTCAGAATGATGCTTATTCTAGCCATCCTGCTGAGATGCTTTCGAGCAATGGTCATCTCTCTAACTTCTTCGGCATTCCTGAGTTACCTATCCTTCCTTGTTTTGTGGAGTCAAGATTTATATTGTTTGATTACTTTTCATATTCAAAACAGTCATTTGCAACAAGCCTAAAGCTTAGTAAGCTTTAACTCGAGGGTAAGTGTTGGAAATTGTGTGTTTAGGTTCATACTGGTCTAGTTGTGCATTTTTGGTAATATAATGGAGTAGGAAAAAGATTGGAGTACTTTGTCTTTGGAAGGAATGGAGTAAATATACTAGTATTGTGGACTGGTAGAGCTATGGTTTCCTATGTTCCGAACTGTCCTTTTTAGTCCTTTTACTTTATATTTATTTATTTTTTTCGCTTGTTTATTTTTCTTTTCCCTCAATCTCTTTTTTGTTTTTTATTTGTGTTTATTGACCATTGACCCCAACTAGCTTAGGTTAAAGGTGATGTAATGTTTATGTATCTTCTGTTATTCATTGAATCTATTGCTTCTCACATGGCCAAAGCACCTTAGGCAAGTGTTAGAGATATATACAACCATTATTGTAGCCTAACCCATCAGCTTAAGTTTTTGTGTTAAATTAGTTATTTACATGGTATCAGAGCCTTGCTGTTATGGGTTCGATCCTTACTACTCCCTATTTAATTAATAATTAATTAAGTTTTGTGGAGTTTCTTAGCATAGGTAAGTGGGCATGTGCATTGTCCACCCTTCAAGCTCAATGGGCTCTTGTGTGAGGGGACGTGTTAGAGATATATATAACTAGTAATGTGGCCTCATTCATCAGTTTAAACTTTTGAGTTGAATTGGTTATTTATAGCAAGTCTCTGTTATCCTTTTCTTCTTGATACTTGACTTCCCTACATTGTCTACCAGTAAGCGTCACCAGTCTTATAGCTTTCTTGTAGAATTTTCCTTTGAGATAACACTTAATGTTTAAAATATTTGTAATTGGCCTTTTCTAAATGTTTTATTTTTCTCTTTGGTTTTGCTTGCATATATATATTCTTTTCTGTGATTAACTTGATCACAGTTATATTTTTTGTTAAATGATATATACAGCTTCATCATATAGCCTGATTTCTTTCTACAATGAGCATATATATATATATATATATATATATATATATATATGTATTTTTTTTTTCTTTTCTATATGTGCAGTTTAATTTTTGAAGCTCATCTTTTTCTTCTCAATTTGGTTTGAACTTTCTTTCCACAACATAAAAATATATTTTGCTTTTTGCATGACATGCTACTATATGTGCAGTTTAATTCTCAAGGCTCATCTGTTTCATCTCAATCTGGCGCGGGACTTGGAATTCAGTCACCAGGTCTCACTGTTATTTCTTCTACCTCATTACCGCTGCCACCTAATTCAGTCCATTCCCCATCTAGCCAACAGCCATTGATGTCGGTTGTTTCTAAAGATGCAGGTATGTTTTGTGTTACTCTTATTCATTCGTATGATTTGTTGAAGATTTTTAGAGATATTATGAAAGTACAAAACCATTCATGTGCTTTTGTGTAATAGCTTGAGCTTTTGGGAGAGTTCATTCATGACAATGATGACATTATACAAAATCCTATCCCAATCCTGATGTCAGGCCACCTGTAGATGTCCATTCTTGTAAACTTAACACTCCAGATGTCCAGTCGTGAGTGTAGAGGGGTTTGTTAAGATCTCACATCAGTTGGATTGGATACATAGGCAAAGTACCTCTTATAATGTCTTGAGGAAATTTTCACTCCTTGAGCTAGTTTTTGGGGTTGAGTTAGGCCTGGTCTGTTTCTAATATGGTATTAAAGTGGTACCACTACCATCCTTCATGACTTGTCCTGTCACTTTTTTGTTGCCGATTCGCTTAAATTTGGAGCTCTAATTTCTATCCAAGATGATTTTCTTCTTATTGGCATTGCACAAAAACTGGCCACTGTAACCCTAGATTTTTGTCCATTAGAGTCTCCATGTGCGACCTCAAGCTCGCAGCGTACTTCAGCTTCTAATAGTGCGTGAGAGTGCATCTGACTGTTTTCAGCTGCTATCACCTTTGTCCGAAACATTGTCTCTTTCATAATCTGGTTTCACCTCATCCAATCGATAACTGGAATCTGTGCAGCTGGCCTTTCTTGAGCAAGTGATACCCCTGTTCCTTCCACCTGCACCGTTGTTTGCCTCGACGCACATCTCCGGTCAGGTCCAGCCCCCATCACCTTTATTCACCACCTTCTAGTGGCTATTTGGCTGTGTTCTTTTTATTGTTTGGGGTCAGATCTTACATGTTCTTTTTTCCTCTCCGTCTGTGTCAGGTTTGACATGTTTGGGTTGTTCTTTGTGTTAGCTCTGAATTGTCATTGTTTTGGCTTCTGTGTGACTTTTTTCCCTTTGCTAGGGAAGAAAATTGGAAGGTGTTGGTATGTCTCTCTTTTGCACTAACGAATGTGGTGACTTTTCCTGAGCAATCATTTTGCTGGTGACTTGTGTTGGCTATGACTGGCACCAACTCCGCATTTGCCCAAATGCAGTTTGGCCTTATCACTATTTCGCTATTTAGTAGCTAAAACGTGGATCTCCACGTTATTTCTGTGATTATTTTCTTTCTTCCAATTAATTGTCTCTCTTGTCGTGGTCTCCTCTTGGAACCATTTATCTGTTCACTGCACTTATCCTTGCATCTTGTCTCCTGTTATTTAGTGCACCTTTCACCTTCCTCATTGCTGCCATTATCAAAGTCTCTACAATGAAGTGATTAAGAGCTCAATCCTTGCCACCTCATTCTTCTAAATTAGGAAACAAAAAGTTGAAATTAAGGACAAGTAAGGTGGACCTGTACATTGATTCATGCTGTAAGCCCAAATGACTCTTATGTAAAGGGACATGATAGAGATGTTGTATAAGTATAAAATAATTCATGTAATTTAACATAATAGCTTAAACCTTTATGTGAGCTAGTTTATGACATGGTATCAAAGCCCATCCTACTCATAATGTTGGACCACTTGTGGATGATCAATCCTACAAATTTCACACTCCTGATTTCTGGTCCTGAGCGTGAGGGATTATGTTATGATTCCACATCGGTTCGTTATAGGGCCAAAGTACCTCTTGTAATGACTTGAACAATCCAATCCCCTTGATCTAGCTTTTGGGGTAGAGTTATGCCAGTTCTTTCTCAATTCTAATATAGGTATTTTGATAATTTTTCTAAAATGTCAATTTTTATCCAGAAGGGTGGAAATTAGGAATAAGGAACTCCTGATAAGAATATTTACAAAAATAAAAAGTGATTATTCTGTTTAAAAATGTGTGGCTATATGCTATGAAACACCGACACTTCAAAAACCCCAATGTGTCGTGTTCGACACTTCCCAACACTCTCTGACACTCCGACACTTCAACGCGCGTTGTAGAAACTCAAAAAAAGGTTCAAAAGTTGCATTGCGTTGCATTTTTAGTTCTAACTATTAGATTCGTTGGATTACTATTACTATTTTATTGAATTTAATATAAATATTTGTGATATCTTATGTTTCTTTACAAAATTAATAGGTATTATAAGTTTAGTTTTATTTTTTTGTTAAATTATTGAATATTAAATATAATATACGCAACATAAATTAAAAATATTATTCAATATCAAAACGTGCCCGAACGTGTCAAAATCTAATTTTTTTAGAGTTAATGTGTCGGAATGTCGTGTCGTATCGCATCCCGTGTCCCGTGTCGGTATCAGTGCTACATAGGCTATATGTTCCTTCATGGTAAATACAAAATACTATTTTTGGAGTTTATTTTATGTAAGAAAGCAGAACGTAAAATTAAAAAATCTGAAATGTCAATATCATGAAATGTTCTATTTTTTTAGCAGTTCATTGTACTCTGGTTAGTCAAGCAGAAATAACATCTAGACATGCCCTAGTAGGTTCTGAATCTAATTTGCAAATTACTGTTATGTTCATTGTAGTAATATCAAGTTCAATATATGAATGCAGCTTTAATTAGGATATAATAACTACGTCAGATTAGAAAAATATACCAAAATTGTTATTTTTGTGAAAGAGGGGGTATATTGTAGTTTTTGTTATTAGAATTGTGTGGAAAACATCAAGAAAACGAGAGAAAGTTTGGGGGGGAGAGAGAGGAAGAGAACCTGAAAGAAACACATCATATTCAGGCTTTTGTGGAATTCAAAAAACAGATTCAAAAGCTTCTGATACAGTCACTATATATAGACCTACTGATGACTCAGCAATGAGTCACTCAGCTAACTAATTGAGCTAACAAAATAGCAGAATAGTGATAAAAATTTGGTACAACAGGAACTACTGTAATGTGTCAGAATACAGACCCCCATATCTCTATACTGTCATTATAAAAGCTATGCTAATATTTGTATTCTGCAGATATTGGCAATTCCAAGGTTGAAGAAGTGCAGCAACAGCAGATTTTTCCTGATGATTCGGGGAGTGAATCTACTGCTAGTACTGGGATTGGCAAGAATTTCATCGATGAAGATGAATTGAAATCCACATATGTTGTAGATTCTCCTGTATGCTGATTAACTCCTAGGCGTTTATATTCTTTATGATATATATTATCTTATCATATTCTGTTACAACATGCTGAAGTGTATATTTACACACGCACACATACACTTATGTTTTCTGCTTAAACTTGGCTTGTAATGCATCTGATTTTTGCATTAGTAAACCCTGGGTTCATAAGCTGGGAAAGCCAGTGGGTCAGACATCCTAGTCTGACTCCTTAGATTAGGTGACCAAGAAATGGACAAAAAAAAAACTACGTTTTCAATCCTGACCACTGTCTACCTAAGAAGGTCGTATATCTAAAATAGGTAAATATATTTGAAGCCTTGAAGGACACAGAGAGACCACACGTGCATATTTGGCCTATTTCTACTATCTGTTTTATCGCCCTTAGTTGTTACAGGTGAACAAATTAATTATAGATGGCACCTGCTTTGAAAGCGAGATGATCAACTCAATATTAGTAGTTCTTTAAGCATTTAAACTGATGAGGGGTATATGGATTGGGTCGAACTGACTTATTAGACTTATCCTGCTTTGTGGATAGCGAACTTCCTATTTTGATCCATGTGTGAGCATGATGTAGAGGAGTGTAGTGTGTGTGTGCTCGCGCGCCCGTATGTGTATATATATATATATATATATATATAATTCATTAATGATTTAAGTTGGCTGTTTGTCTTTTATGCTGCAGGCAGCAGTGTCTCCCTCTCTTGCAGAGCCTGCTCAGACTTCTAGAGATATTGATTTGTCTCCTGGCCAACCTTTACAATCCAATCAACGCAGCAGTAACCTTGGTGTTATAGGTAGAAGTTTTGCCGACCTTGGACTTGGAGCTCTTGGTGATAACTTTAATGGATCAATTGTGAATTCTGGTGGAGTGCGTGATCAATTATATAATTTGCAAATGCTTGAGGCGGCTCACTTCAAACTTCCACAACCCAAGGACTCAGAACGTCCTAGGACCTATACTCCTGTATGCATTTCCAATTATATTTGTTAGAAAAATACAAAACTATTAATGTAGTCTTCACCTATCACCTTAAGTTACTGGATTTTATTAATTTTTTTCACGGTATCAGAGAAGTGGTCTTGAATTCGTTCTTCACCGCCACCCACTTTATTATAGTCGATATTGTGGAGTTTCTTAACACAATTAGATGAGTCTGTGTATTATCCACTCTTTCAAGTTCAATAAGCTCTTTTATGAGGATACATATTAGAGAAATATAAAGCCATTCATATGACCTTCTCCTATTAGCATAAGTTGTTAGGTCGAATTGGTTTCTTACAATATTAATCCGCATGTTTATTCAATAACCTATTAGAAGTTAATTTCTTTTCCTTATGTTTTTTTGGTAAGCAGAGGCAACCAACGATAACACCTTCTAGTTATCCTCAAGTTCAGTCATCTGTTGTTAATAATCCTGCCTTTTGGGAGAGAGTAGGTCTGGAACCATTTGGCACTGATACCCTGTTCTTTGCATTTTATTTTCAACAGGTACACGGACTTTTTGTGTTATTAGTATTACTTTCATTCAGTCAGTGAGCTTACATCCATTATTTTCTGCAGAACACTTACCAACAATATTTGGCTGCAAAAGAGCTAAAGAAGCAGTCTTGGAGATATCACCGTAAGTATAACACGTGGTTTCAACGGCATGAAGAGCCAAAAGTTGCAACAGATGAATATGAACAGGGAACATATGTTTACTTCGATTTCCATATTGCAACTGATGATCTGCAACATGGGTGGTATGCTTAGTGAACTTATAATTCCTGTTATTTGCAGTCATAGTTATATAGTGTATATATGAACTCTAGTTTCATTTTATTGGTGTTAGAATAGTTGTAAAATAGTTCAGTATATATATAGTCCCACATCGTATGAGCTCAACCTATTAGGTCTTTTAGTCTCTTTAAATAGAGAGCTCTTGTACATTGTAATACACCATGTGATTATTCAATATACAATTATTCTTTAATCTCAAGTTGGTACCAGAGCTATTTCGTTCTAGGAACCCTCGCTTCCGCTTAGAAATCTTGTTCTTCGCTTTAAAACCTAAGCCCACTGCTTAGGAGTCATCTTTTCTTTGTCGTGCGTCCTTCCGGCAAGCCATCAAGGACTGTAAGTCCTCTCCTGCACGTGTCCACATCCCCAAACAGTCACCGGAACCACCATCAGCCACTGTTCAGGCTGCCGGAGTACTTTTCCGGCGAGATTTCAGTCTGGAACGAACGCGAACATCACCCTCCCGGCGACCTGCTCTGTGGAAGTCCGGCCACCATCGGAGTTGTCACGCGCTCTCACGCGCCTCCTGTCTTTCTCTGCGCGTGGGCTTCACGCGCCACCTTCTGCCGGCGCGTGGGCACTATTCCGGCGGCTTTTTCCGGCCGTTCTTGGACAGAACTTCTCGCCTTCTTCTCCTCTTTCCGGATCTGTGCTTGGTTCTTTGTGGGTCTCACTTTAGACGCGTGGTTCTCCTTGATTGGATATCGATTGCCTTCGTTTACAACTTTTATATTCTGTTTTTAAATGGCAGCAGCGTCCACTGATCTCTCGGAGGTTAACTCTTCTTGTCCTCCTGTCAAAACTTCCTCAGGAATCATCTCTACTAATATTGGGCCCATTACATCTTCCAAACTGAAGGATTCTACCTCTCTTGCTGCGAATATAGCTCAGTCAGACAATGCATCATTTGGTTCAGTTTCTCTCTCACTTGCGGACTATGCTGCACTCCAAACTCTTCTTAAGAAGGCTTCTCCTCAGTCTCAACCATATACTGGTAATCCCGTTGCTTGTGTTTCTCATTCTACATCACTTGGCACTTGGATATTTGACTCAGGTGCTACCGATCATCTCTGTGGTAACAAGGAACTCTTTACATCTCTTACCTATTCTGATCATTTACCTTCTTTTACCCTTGCGGATGGAACCAAAGTTCCAGTTCGTGGGATTGGACAAGCTCGTCCGACCTCTACCTTGGCCTTGACATCTGTTTATTACATTCCTGGCATCCCTTATAACTTAATTTCTATTAGTAAGTTGATCCACTCCCTCACTTGCACCATTACTTTCTCTAACCATTCTGTTTCTGTGCAGGATCCGGGTACGGGGGAAATGATTGGAGTGGGTCGTGAGTCACAGGGGCTTTACTATCTGGATGTGCCTCGTCCTTCAGTGGCACTCTCTCTCACAGAATCTCCACAACTTATCCACAGTTGCCTTGGTCATCCAAGTCTTTCAAAGTTGCAGAAAATGGTTCCTCTTTTATCCGGCCTTCAGTCTTTAGATTGTGTGTCATGTCAACAAGGGAAGCATACACGTTCCTCTTTTGCCAGTCGAGTCAATAAACGAGCTGATGCCCCTTTCTCTCTTGTTCATTCAGATATCTGGGGTCCAAGTCGTACCTTGTCTGTTTTAGGTTTTCGGTATTTCGTTACCTTCATTGATGATTTTTCCCGTTGCACTTGGGTCTATTTAATGAAAAATCGTTCTGAGTTATTTTCCATTTATAAAAGGTTTTATACTGAGATTCATACTCAATTTGGTGTTTCTATTCGTATTCTACGTAGTGATAATGCTAAGGAATATGTTTCTATTGATTTTTCTAATTTCTTGGCCACACAAGGTACTTTACATCAAACTACTTGTCCTCACACTCCACAACAAAATGGGGTGGCTGAACGTAAAAACAGACATCTCATTGAAACTGCACGCACCCTTCTTCTTCATATGCAGGTTCCCCTTCACTTCTGGGTAGATGTTGTACTCATCTCTTGTTTTCTCATCAATCACATGCCCTCATCTGTGCTCAACAATGACATTCCTCATAACCTATTGCTTCCAGATGTTCCTCTTTATCCTCTAACTCCACATGTCTTTGGTTGTACTTGTTTTGTTCATGATCTCACTCCTGGTAAGGATAAGTTAACATCCAAAGCCTTTCAGTGTATCTTTCTTGGTTATTCTCGTCTTCAAAAGGGTTATCGTTGTTATTCTCCCGATCTTAAGCGTTACTTAGTTTCCGCTGATGTCACTTTTCTTGATCAACAACCCTTTAATTCTATTCCATCTCAGTTGTCACAGGTTGATCATGTTCTTCCTGTCCCTTTTCTTGACTTGTCTTTGCCAGCTGCAGGTGCTTCTATTCCAAATGAGCAACCTATTGCTTCTATACCTGAGGACCGTCCACTTCTCACTTATCAGCGTCGCAAAACTGTGCCTCCTGTCGACTTGACTCTTGCTGACTCATCGCCCACTGCTGTTGCTTCTTCCTCTCCGGATCCTTCACCAGAGACTCTTCCCATTGCTCAAAGAAAAGGTACACGTACTACTCGTAACCCTTATCCTCTTTATACTTTTTTGAGCTATGACCGTCTTTCTTCACCTCATTTCACCTTTGTTTCTAGTCTTTCTTCTATTTCTATTCCTAAGACCACAGGTGAAGCACTTTCCCATCCAGGGTGGCGCCAAACGATGCTTGATGAGATGACTGCACTTCATTCCAATGGCACTTGGGACCTTGTTTCTGCTCCTCCAGAGAAGTCTACAGTTGGTTGTCGCTGGGTGTTTACTGTGAAAGTTGGACCTGATGGCCATATTGATCGACTCAAGGCCCGCCTAGTTGCAAAGGGTTTTACTCAAATATTCGGCCTTGATTATAGCGATACATTCTCTCCGGTCGCTAAGATGGCGTCAGTTCGCCTATTTCTTGCTCTTGCTGCTATTCGTCACTGGCCACTCCTTCAACTTGACATAAAAAATGCCTTTCTTTATGGTGATTTACAAGAAGTTTATATGGAGCAACCACCGGGTTTTGTTGCTCAGGGGGAGTCTGGGAAGGTGTGTCGTCTTCGCAAATCCTTATATGGTCTCAAGCAGTCTCCTCGGGCATGGTTCAGTCGCTTCAATTCTGCTGTTCAGGAGTTTGGCTTAATTCGCAGTAAAGTTGACCACTCTCTGTTTTATAGGATCACATCTCCTGATAAGTGCATCTATTTGTTAGTCTATGTTGATGACATCATCCTCACCGGGAGTGATCAAGCTGGAATTTGTCAGTTAAAACAGTATTTATTCAGTCAATTTCAGACAAAGGACCTCGGGAAGCTGCGTTACTTCTTGGGAATTGAGGTAGCACAATCTAGACAGGGCATTTCTATCTGTCAAAGGAAGTATGCCTTGGATATCCTAGAAGAGACTGGTATGTTGGCGTGTAAGCCAGTTGACACACCCATGGATCCTACTATCAAATTACTACCCGGACAAGGAGAACCATTATCTGATCCTGGACGTTATCGGAGGTTGATTGGGAAGCTCAATTATCTCACTGTGACTAGGCCGGACATTTCTTTTGTTGTTAGTGTCGCTAGTCAGTTTCTTGATTCTCCGTGTGATTCTCATTGGGATGCTGCTGTTAGGATCCTTCGTTACATCAAAGGAGCACCAGGGAAAGGTTTATTATATTCAGATCAGGGAAATACAGAAATTTGTGGTTATTCAGATGCCGATTGGGCAGGATCACCCTCGGATAGGCGCTCTACTTCAGGCTATTGTGTTTTCTTTGGAGGAAACCTGATTTCTTGGAAAAGTAAGAAACAAACTGTTGTTGCCCGATCTAGTGCAGAGGCCGAGTATCGTGCAATGGGAGTTGCTACCTGCGAGCTAATCTGGTTAAAGCAGTTGATTCGGGAGCTCCATCTTTGTGAACAGAAGAAACCCATGACTCTCATTTGTGACAATCAAGCTGCACTACATATATCCTCTAATTATGTATTTCATGAGAGAACCAAACATATAGAGATCGATTGTCATTTCATTCGCGAAAAGATTCAGTCAGGAGAAATCAAAACGGAATTTGTCAACTCCAATGATCAACTCGCGGATGTCTTCACTAAAGCTCTTAGGGGTCTTCGGGTTGAATATATTTGTGGCAAGCTGGGTGCTTACAATATATATGCTCCAGCTTGAGGGGGAGTGTTAGAATAGTTGTAAAATAGTTCAGTATATATATAGTCCCACATCGTATGAGCTCAACCTATTAGGTCTTTTAGTCTCTTTAAATAGAGAGCTCTTATACATTGTAATACACCATGTGATTATTCAATATACAATTATTCTTTAATCTCAAGTATTGGAGATGGCTATACTTTATCTAGAGTAAATCTCCATTTTCGCCCTCTACAAATATACGTGTTATCAGGTTGGTCATCCATTAAGAAATACGTCTAATTGGTCCTTTAATGTCAATTTACGCCATCAAATTGGTCATTAAAGTGACATCAAAATTGTTCCTGAAAGGACAAAATTGAAGGGTATTTAATTATCATTGAAGGACCTATTTGGTGTCTCCAATAAATGAAGGGTTGATGTGATGTTCTGTATATACCTGAGGGCTATAATGGACATCTCTCAATTTAATTTAAAACAATCCAAAATATTGCATTTTCAAGTTTTCCCTTTTCTGGGTTGGCCCATGAGATGATTATGCTGCTGATGTTTGATGCCGTGCTTCTGGTTGTCCTGATTTGTTTGTGCCTTGATGTGGTTATTCTCAGGTGTCAAAGAATCAAGACTGAATTCACTTTTGAGTATAATTATCTTGAAGACGAGCCTATTGTCTAGAAGATTCGTATAAATGCCATCTGGTAACCCCATGTCACTTTTTGGTTCTTTTTTGTGCTTGTTAATTTTTCACAGGTCTGTCTTGTTAAATTGATAAACTAGTAATACCTTCCAAAGAAGAAAAATGTCCTCAGTTTTGTGAAGAGAACAGATATGCTGAATAAGCTTCCATGCACAATCTTTCCTTTTCCCAAAGTTTTTCTTTACTGATGATTCCAGCAAATTCCAGTGTTTGATTTTATAACTTGTATTATGTTTCATTTGACCTTTTAATCTATCCCTAACCGTTGTAAAGTGGTGTGAACACGTCACTTTCTAAATGGCCTTTGAAAAATTTGGAATGAGTGGTGTGACATGGGTTCCCAGCATGCAAGGGAGAAGATGCATTAGCCATAAGGCAAAACATCAAAGTACAAATGTACATCCACTACGGCTATCCATGCATTATAAGTTTTTCAAATAATGTATTTACGTAACGAAGGGATTTATAATTGATTTATAAAAGAAGTAATAAAGAAATTTCTAGGATTTTCAAAAGAGATAGGATCAACTTACACCGGTGTAAGAATAATAAATCTTACACCAAATCTTAACCGTTGATTTCCATGCATCCAATGGTTGAGATTTATTAGTAATTAAAAATTAATTAATGAGTGATAATTTTGATTGTGTAGTTATACTAACATTGTATAACTAAGAATAAATTTATCATATAAATTTTGATTGTGTAGTTATACTAACATTGTTGTCATTTAGAATCCATATAATTTGATGTAGCCATAAATTTAATTAATTATAACCTTGGAACTTCGAATCCTTGGCCTCCTACCCTTTATTTTATTTTATTAATACTGCTTCCTTTTTTATTTGGATTAACACCCTATACCTTTTTTCTGGTTTTGTTTTATAACACTGATTGTAACAGTTTGGTCTCTATATTTTTCTGGTTTTGTTTTATAACACTGGTTACTTCTTTGCAGTGGAAGGCTTGAATCGTTCAGGTAGACGTTTTGAGTGGAAGCTTACAGCTTTTTATTTGTCTGTTGTGACAATATAAATATGAGGTCTGTGTATAATATTCGGTGAAGTTGTATGTAATGCCTCGCCGGGCTGTCGGTTTGTTAACATGTAATATGGTAATAACAGCACTGCATACTTAATTAAAAGTAGCAAGACTCAATATAAAGTATTACGATAGTTCTCAATAATTATGTGACTTGACTTTTTCCTTTATGTTTACTTTGTATAACTTGCTACAAGTAACTTATTCTTCTATTTACCATTAACGGTATAGTTTCATATTTGTACAAAATCTATACTAATAACCTTTGACCATAATTAATGATCAAATGACTATCCAAATATAATAATTAGTACTATTTTGGATAAAATCTAATGGACATCATAAAAATTGTAAATTAGATTAATCCAGGGATAAAATTTCACATTATATCTAGGCTTTAATGTTTTTGCAGTGAATGTAGATAAGTTATCTACATTCACTTTCAAAACGATGTCGTTTTAGGTTGAAAGATTAAAAAATTATAATGAGAAAGACTATTATAATTTTGAAATAAATTATAATTACAAAAATATCATGATTTTTCCTCCTCCCTCCAAAACGACGTCGTTTTGGGCTCAATGTAAATAACTACATTGATTGCAAAAAATGTGAACCCTTATATCTAATTCTGAAATACAGGAAAGTCTAATACATTATAGTACATAAACCAGCATATGGCTTCGTGCCATTACTGATATCATATCTCGGTACATACACATCCACATATACATAATCATGTCCTCTAAATACTATATAGAAGGCTATACAAGCCTCTCAAAAAGGACTTCAGCTATATAATAATACAAGGCACGATCGTATAAACATATAACTGCTTCAGCTGGATGATCTAACCACCCTGCACGGGTTCCTTGCCCCTAGCGGATTATCTTCTACTGGAGTACCTGAACTATATTCTCAAAAGGGTGAGATTAATAATCTCGAGTTTATGGAGCAATCTCCACCTAGACAGCGCTCACTTCCTGCATGAAGGGTTAGATTACATAGCATAGATGAAATCATATATCACAACACATACATCATACATCCAGGGCTATAGTCCAGGGACTGCATCCCATAAAGAGAGCCAATATATATTTTCAAGAATCATAGATTTCCACAGAAGTAACATACATAGTGATCAGAGACTAATGTCCCCTCGGTCATACTTTATGTATACGGGATCATATCCTACGTATGTCATACACAGTGATCAGAGACTAGTGTCCCCTGAACCATACTTTATGTATGTTGAGATCATGATAGTGTATGGATTTACTTATCAGGAACCATCACTCCACATAACATATCATATCATAGCATAACATATACATGTCCTACATGAATGCAACTATACTATGATCTATCATATATCAGCCATACAGACATACAACCAAGATCCTATTAGACCGTGGTGGAACATCATGTTAGAAGAGTACTCCTAAACAAAGAGCTTACTTGAGATACAAGTAAACTATGTAAGATCTTCAGAATCCTGATCTGTAATCACTGTAGCACTTGATTCACTCTTGGTTCATCAACCATTAACAATGAGTAACCATCACATCACCATACCAGTTTACTTATCAAACTTGACAATTTCATGCCTTGACCACAAGTCCGACCTATAGGAACATACTATATAACAAAGGTTTAACCCTTTCAACCCACTTGGAACTCAACCAAAATAGGTTTTTATGTTTTATTCTTATTTAACTTCAATTCCAAGCAATTTAAACACACTTGGCCGGATTGTATGATTAGGGTTTCATATAATTTTTTTTTTCCAATTTTAACTATTTATTCTCCATTCCAACCATTTTTAAACCACGCACTAATCATGGTTTCAATTGCAAAATTAATTAAATACATCATATTCACCAATTTCTCATTACTTAGTCGATTAGGGTATATTATATAGGTTCTAGGACTTCCTTTCATTTTCACCTCTTGATTTATTGAACAAACCATACACTTGGCCGGATTGTATGATTAGGGTTTCATATAATTTTTTTTTTCCAATTTTAACTATTTATTCTCCATTCCTACCATTTTTAAACCACACACTAATCATGGTTTCAATTGTAAAATTAATTAAATACATCATATTCACCAATTTCTCATTACTTAGTTGATTATGGTATATTATATAGGTTCTAGGACTTCCTTTCATTTTCACCTCTTGATTTATTGAACAAACCATCTTCAAATAATGTTTTAAGCATGTTTACACCATAGTAGTTAAAAGCAGATTGCAGCCCGTTGCGGCCAACCCTGAAAAACGCTATAGTGCTATAGCGGGTTGCGGTTGCGGAAATAGCGAAATGTATTAACATAACCTAGATACACATACATGTAATGCTAAAAAAATAAAAATCAATCAATAATAATAAAGAATTGCTCCATAACAAATAGGAATTCCAAGTAGCCAAATTAAAAGATCTAAATATTGTCAATATCCAAAACATAACAATATCCAAAACATATTCCATTCCGTTTTCATATTCAAATGTCTAAAAGAACTAATCAGAATATTCAATTCCATCATCACCAAAGTTTGTTTCAGCCTCACTGTCACTAGTATCTATATTATACAATTATTTTGGCACATCTTCCAGTCCTTCTGTTTCTATAATGTCCTTTCCTTTAGAGCTTGAAGGCAAAGCCGTGAACCTTGTCTGCTGTCTAGCGTAAACTATAGGCTCATCATCATTAGTTACATTTGCAATGTCACCCAAGTCAAGGTATCACCCTCAAATACAACTTTATTCTCATTATGTTCCCCATCTCCACCCATATCTCCCACCAACCATTCATTGCTTTCATCAAAACCATTTAGGAGAATGGGATCAATCAAATCACGGCTGTTAAATCAGTGTTTAAGAGTTTGGTTATATTTAATATAAACCAAGTCCTGCAAAACTTCTGATTATCAAGTCTACTTCGCTTCTTGGAATGAATCTATTTGATAATTAACAAATAAATATTATTTTCACAATCCGTTACGAAGCTCTATAAAATAAAACCATTGAGCATGTACTTACATGCTCAAAAATACTCCAATTATGTTCACATCTTGAAGAGCTACAAGTCAGACTCAATACTTTAATGGCAATTTTTTTCATACGTCCCCCACCATTGAACTGTAATACAAATATAATAACTAAATAATATGACTACTTAGATAAATTGTAATAATAAAAGCTTAAAGTGATCAAAAACTTATGAGGAGACACTTTATCCCTTTGTCTTTTGGCCGAGTCCATGCCAAAGAGACCCTGAGCTTTCTTATATAGTTCCAATTCATCCATAACCTGGTTCATCTCATCCTCATTGGCAGTTAGTCTCTCGAAGCATTTTAAATAACCATTAACCACTTCTAAATCTTCATCAAGCTTTGGATTAGAATAAAAATATTGAGGGTTAAGATAATGCCCAATTGCATGCAAAGGATGATGAAGTTGACAATCCCATTTTTTATCAATGATAGCTATAATCTCTCTATACTTATCTTCTTTTCCAATTCCACGAAATGTAATTTGAATTGCTTCTTTGGCCTTATCCATTGCTTCATAAATGTAACCCATTGCCGGCTTTTTTTAATTAACAAGCATCCTCAGCACACCCACAAGAGGCCCCATAGCCTTAAGACAATAAACGATATCATTCCAAAAAGATGTATTGAGTACTATATCAGTTGCCCTTTTCCCTTTGGGGTCTTTGGCAGTCTTAGATTTTGACCACTCATCAGAAGTGAACATCCTTCGGAGGTTGCTTTTCTGCTTATACAACCTTTGCAATGTAAGGAATGTGGTGGCAAACCTTGTCACTCCGTGCCTCACCAATTCTGTTTTGCTTGTGAACTTTTGCATGGTGTTCAATGCCAATGAATGATTATAAATGAAACCTACTAGACTAATGCCTCTTTTTATTGTCCTCTTTACTCGATCAAGCTTTCCAATATCTTCTAGCATCAGGTCTAAGTAATGTGCAGCACATTGAGTCTAAAAAATATTACATCTCTTGGCTTGTAAAAGTTTTCCTAACATCACAAGCATAAACTTAATTAAGAAAATGAGTCACAAATAAATTGAAATATTAACAATTGAATGAGTTTATTGTCTCTTACCAGCCAAAACATAATTGCTTCTATTGTCGGTCACCACTTGAACAACATTTTGTTCATCAATCTCCATCACAAAAGTGTCCAGAAGTTCATGTAATTTCTCACCAGTCTTCATATACGAAGAAGCATCAACACTCTTGACAAACATAGTTCCTGATGGATAATTCACCAAGAAATTGATCAAAGTTCTACCCTTCTTATCTGTCCATCCATCAAGTATAATAGAATATCCATAGTTTACTCTTTCTATCGCATGCTCCTTCAGTAATTGCTTTGTATACTTTAACTCTTTTTGAAGGAGTGTAACTCTACATTCATAATAAGATGAAACCTTCAAACGAGGACCATAGTTCCCTATTGCTTCAACCATCAACCTAAAACTTCTAGAGCGTACAACATTGAAAGGTATCCCATTCGTTACTAAAAACTTCTCAATATATTGAATTGTTCTTGCTCTAGCTTCTTTATCACAGGCATCATTGATGCTTGTTTGCCTTTCCCCCAACTTGAAGCTGTTTTCTGGATTTTTCAAAAGAAGTAAGTCCATGGGACTTTTCACAGTATTGCCTTTCTTGGCAGCAACAGAGGAATCACTACTGGGTATTACTCCCCTTTTTCCAGTTCTAAGGTTATGGATTTCTTCCACCTCTTCAAGCTCATCATCATCTTCTTGTAGCTCATTTAGGGAAGCATTTTTATCAGCTAGATTCTTCTCATACGCTTCCTTCAAAGCATTTCTTACTTCTAGGGGGGTTTTCTTACATGGCTTTACATCTCCCTTTATCCCCATTTGGTGTAATTTAGCCCTGGTAATTCCAATTGCTGTTGTCTTATGAAAGAAGTCACATGTCACGTTTCTTTTATTATTTGTAACACCCCGTTACCAGACCGGTGTGTTATCATCAATTATGATATTAAGCGCAATCACAATCACAACAGTTATTTGAATTTACGAAAAAACTTTTTCTTTTTAATAACATTCGCACTTTTAAAATAATCGTATTAGACAATATACTAACTGTGATCACAACTCAAAACTTATAGCGGAGCTATGAATACAATAGCTTAATACCATACAATTTACATTTGAAGGTTGCTAAGTGGTTCCCATAAACCAACAAAGCTTAAATCTCATTCTATCCATGTTTAACACTAAATGCATTCACCTTTTTATTTACTAACAATTTTATACCTCTCAAATGATTCTCATTCCTTAATATGTTATATATTTCTTTGTTAGCTTCACGTAGGTTCAAACCGCGCTCATTTTGGAGCACCGTAGCTCAAGTTATGAATTTTCTAAGAACGTGATGCTGAACCCGCAGATTCCTGCGCGAACAGCGCCAAATTGGCGCGAATAGCGCCACGAAACAGACAGTTTCCAGAATTTTGGCGCGACCAGCACCAACTTGGCGAGAATAGCGCTAGGATTACGTCTCTTCTCTGTATGTTGGCGCGATTAGCGCCACCACGGCACTAATAGCGCCAGGGGTCTGGAGATAGATACCAAGATAAGATAATTCGACCTACTTTTGTATTTTACCCATAACTTGAGTTATACTAATCCAATTTACACAATCTTGGTCTTATTGGAAAGCTAAAAGAAAGATTTATAACTTCCAAGAAGGCCAAGGGGTCCAATTCTATCATATGGGATATTAAAATTGGGCAGAACCCTGTTTATATTTTCAACAATTATCAATTTTTCCAATCATGTACCTAATCAATTATCATATCAATATTTACTTAACTATTTCACAGCTCAACACATTCAATAGGTCATTGACCCTTCTATCAATTATACACCTCCAACAAACATTCTTTACACAACTAATTCTTAAACATAATCCAAGTGGCATGGACATCCCTCATGCTCACCCATATCCAAAATGATAAAATGAGGCATATACAATTGGATTCCAAAATACAACTAATAATCAAGGGACTTAGGATTACATATGAACAACAAAAGCTTGGTAAATACAACTACATGCAACACCATGACCATATACTAAGTCCTCTACACAATGAATGTCCACAAAATATAGAAACTCTCAAAATGACATATGAATCTCATGCATCAAATCTATCTCCTCCAAGATGCCATGCTCTCCATATGCACATCATCATCCAACTCCTCCATGCTCGCTATAGCCTGAAATGATGTCCCCAAACGCAGAGTGAGATATACAAATATATCTCAATAAACCAAGGGTACTAGAGGATCACTCCACCCCATGGCTCACTCAATGTGCAACAAATAACATCATGTAAAAATGCATATCATACAAAATCACACATAACTGGGCACAAATCAGAGAACATCCACATAAGGATTCCATTCAAGGACCCCATCATATATCTCCCGCGAAGCTTCCTGGTGCCTCTCTCATGGATGAGACGACCCCATGGCAAAACCCAACTGGAACTCCTCATGAGCCCTATCCAGCGAAAGTCCCACGTTTGGATCATCCTGGTACCGCTCCTAGAGTCGGCCCCACGGCAAAACCCGACTGGAATCCCCAAAGGATATCTCCGGCAGAAGTCCAAACCAACACACATCTACTGGCCAGAGATCACACAATTTCACACACAACATGCTCCAAGCATGTCACAGAATCAAGCAATAATGCATGAACATACATATTCACACCATGTCAAAGAGCACAAAATCCAACCACAACCTCCTACTAGGTGTGGTGGAGCACACAAGGGATTAAAACTCAAGTTCCAAACGTTTACCTCAAGTCCAAGAGCAATGCTCCACACGTAAGCTCCAAGCTTAATCCACTTTTATTGATTCCGTGTGAGGTAACCTATATTGATCAAACAACAATGATCAACAACCAATTGCATATAATCAATTAACTTCACAATAGTACTAACCAACATAACCACTTAAGCCTAAAGGCTATTTTTCATTTCTTCAACTATCTCAATCATTTCAATCATCAAACTAACTCACCCTTTATGCAGCAAGATATTAACCATTGATTACACAATATTCATCACCTCATTTTTCCTTAAACCAACCTATAGGTCGAATTCTACATGGAATCATGCTTCAAGGTTTTCAATCCAATTCAACACTTACACATGCCTTACAATCTTCTTATTAACCTATATCAATGCTCCACAACTCAATTATCCAATCCCATCATCATGCCATTTCGTTGGAATTAAACTCCAAATTTCATTAAGTTATAATTTTCCAAATCACAATAATTTTTATTGCATCAATCATCATCATTTATCATTCTAAGCATTTAATTCCAAAGGAGCAACATCATTAAAAGCCCCTAACCACATCAACCAACGAACACATAATCAAACACTCACCCATTTTATGATCTCAATAAAAATGAGAGTGTGAAAACTTACCACCAATAGCTCCCTAGGATCCTAGGGAGTGAGTGATCTCCAACCAATGGATCAACTCAAAAGTCACCAAAATTTCCCCAAAATACTCAAAATTTCGTGGCTGTATATGGAGGATTTTTCCCTCCACAATGCTCCCCACAAGGTACACTCTACATGAAAGTCACTCACAATCTCAAGGGGAACAACTTTGTAGTTGGAAATTTCTCTAAAAAATGGCTAGAAAGTGGAGTTGTAATTCAAAGAGCTAAAACCCCAACAATGGAGAAAAGGGGGGGTCGCGTGAGGAAGAAGAGGGAGGAGAGAGAAAGTGGGAGAAATCTGATTTTCTTGTCTCTTTATCCACTTAAGTCACTTAAGTGGGTCTCACATGTCGTTTAACTTTCTTAAATCTTCCAATTTAACCCACAAATTCATAATCTACGTATTTTTCTCGTTCACGTCATATTTTTACTTCCTAAAAATACTGATCATATTTTTGCACTTATCGGTACAATTATACCGCAGTATTTTACACCGAAAAAATCACTATTCATCAAACTTTTCGAAACTTGCGTGTCCACTCAATTTTTCGTCCTGAATCCATTTTCGGCATTATTTTCACCATTTGAGACCTTCTACTCAATTTTTCCTGCCTAGGGTTGCGTGTTTGGTAAATTACCATTTTACCCTTCTTATGCATTTTGACCCTTAATTCAGGATTTTCACTAATCCTTCCCTTTAATCCACATTTTCATATATAATTATGCATTTACGAAATTCGAGGTGTTATATTATTGGTATCCTTCAAGGAATTCCATTGCCATGCTATATCACGATAAGGACCCGGGGGTTTAACCAAAGCACAAGAAGGAGATTCTTGTGTGTTGTTGTTGGATGCCATCACTAGCTATATTTATTATTATAGAGGCAAACAAAAAATAAAATAGAAATTAGAAAAAAGCTAAAATAAATTTCAATATTTTTCTGTCGTCGGGACAACAAATCAGCAAAGGAAGGCAAAAAAGCTAATCTCAATTTCATTATTTTTCCGTCTACGGACCACAAATCATCCTTGTCATCTACAATATAATTTATATCACTAGACGACATACCAGTAATGATCTTTTTATTTTTAATGACACAAAAAATTGTGATGCTAGAAAAAAAAATAGAAGGTCAAGAAAAAGAAGAAGGAAGAGGTAAAAAAGAAAACCCAAAAAAGGGAAGAAGTTAAAAAAAATTCCAAAAAAATAACCTAGAAAAGAAAAAGAAAAAGAAAATAGGACGCTAGAAAAAAAAAGAAAATAAATAAATAAATAAAGAATGTTACCTACGAAGAGAGATGAGATGATTCCCCATCAAAAGAGAAAGCCGTTCAGATGAATAAGAGATAAGTCAAGAGATAAAAGTAGAGAGGAGACGTTGTTGACCTAGAATCCTAGATAATATTGTTTTTTCCAAAGTGATTGTAATTGTAAATGACTCTTAATCATATATATATATATATATATATATATATATATATATATATATATATATAGGATACAAAAATATGTTGGTCACAAATAATAATAATTTGTTGAATAATTTATTAACTATTTTTATATAACTTGACTGTTTAAAATTTTGAACAATATCTTTTGATATATTTTTTACCCATAACATGTAAATCAGATTTTGACTATATATATTTACTCATAAAAAATAAATTCACTTTTCAGTGTACTACCCGTGACTCAGAAGAAAGAGAGAGAGAGAGAGCTCCATTTTATAAAATAAAAGTCACGTGGGAAAAAATATTATAATAAATATCAATTCAAAACAAATTATACAAGTCAAGTGGGTTTCTTTCTCGTCTTCATCTTTATAACGCAGAAGAGAGAAAGAGAGAGCGCCATATTTCAGCCGTGATTTTTGTCAAAACAGACGCGATTTCCCACGCTATTACGGTCGCTAAAGACGCGATCCTTTTCCGGCGTGGTGCAGAGCTGTTTCTCACGGTCGGCCACTGCAGCCCTCAAACGGTGCGGGTAGCGCATCTTTTAACTACTATGGGTTATAGATTCAAACATAATTAAAGACACTAATTACCTCTATTACCGAATGATGACCGAATTGGGATAGTTAGGGTTTCACATAGTTTCTTTAAAATTTTAACTCTTTAATCCTTGAACAAATTACCTTTAAACTATCCTCCAATCATGTTTTCATATCCAAAAATATTTAAACATAAAATGTTCATCATTTACACCCTAGAGGCCGAAACATCCACATGGTAGTTCACTAGGTTTTCATGCACTTTGGTTGTTTCATTTAAACTTCTAATGATCTCCATAACCTTTTACCAAAATCAAACTCCATCATTAACACAACATAAACACAAAATATATCATCCATTATTCAGCCCAATAACCTCCAAAAACCTAGAATTGAATAAGAAAAATAGCCATTAATAAAAGTAAGTTTTCTCGCCTCCAATGGACTACAAATGAACTAAGGATAATTCTTCAACCTTTAAACCAAGAAAACACTCATCTTTAGAACCATAAACAATACTTGGTCGCTTCCTTCAAGAAGAGAAATTAAGAGATTGAAGGCTTTTGAAAAGAAACTAAAACCATAGAAAGATTCCTAAGGTTTTAAGGTTGATTTTTTGTGAAATAGTCATGGTTTTTTTGTGAGGTTTTCTAAGAGAAATAGGCTTTCCAAGTTCTTCAATGGTGGCTGCCTCATATGCAGAGAAAAAGAAGAGAAAGCATCGAGTTTTTACGAGAGAAAAAGATGACAATTTGGTCTTATAATGACTAAGTTACTTGTTTAATAAAAGTAGTTGTTTTTGTTGACTTTTTCTTATGTTATCAACCAATTACATTAACTAACTTGTTAATTACTCCTCCTCACTTCTTCTAGGTCAGCCAAGGAGCATAAATAAGGAGGGATGACCGAATCTGCTTCATGAAAATATCATGGTAATTTAATTAAACAAGCTAGTTTAACTTTAAGTACTAATTTGACTTATAAGTATTCTTATTGGTTGTTTAATAGAACTTTGACATAATTTTAATAATTAATCTAATCATAATTAGACTAATCTAAGATTACTTTAAGACTATAGAATTTGCTAAACAAATTGATTATACCATAAAAATCAAGTTTAGACCTAATTTTACTTATTTGCAAAATGGTCCCTAAACTTATACATATTTGTACCCATAAACTTTACTAATATTGACATTTAGGTCCTACTAGACTTGTTAGGCATGAATTATATTCATATCATAATTATCATATAGATTACATGATTAACTTGTCAGATTCTCATTGAACCGATAATTAACTTTTAATTTAACACAACTTATTAGTGAGGGTTGTTATATTGTACCTCCAAAGTATACAGGTTTTTATTTTTTGTTTTTTTGAGTAAGCATACATTTTGATCCTCTACAAATATATGCAACATCAAGTTGATCATTTATGAGCAACATCAAATTGGTTTTTCAGAGATAATTAATGCCTGCAGTTTTTGCAAGAACTAATTTGATACCATTTAAGGAATTCTTGTAAGGATAAGATTGCTTATTAGAATTGTCCTTGCCCCTGTTCTCTAGTCCGATTTAATGGAAATTATTTATGGTGTTTGTTTTGTTTGGAATTGTAATGATAGTAATTATTATTATTATTATTATTATTATTAATTGAACTGAAGAGTTTTGAGGATGTGTGATTTATTTGGCAAAAAAGATTAGAAACAGAAATCATTAAAGAATATATCGATTTAGATATCTAGATACTTTCTATTAGAACCCTAAGTAAGACTATGTAGCATACCAATATTATTATTTTCTTCATGTTATTGTTTGAATTCAAGATTCACTTCATTTAATAAGGTGATTCCTTAATAAGGTGAGTCTCAGGGTAGTTATATAATATTTAAAACTAAGGGCATGTTTGGTACATAATATAGGATAAGACCTAATAATATAAAACCTGATAGTATAAGGCCTGATTGTATAAGATCTGAATAAATTTTAGGGAAATGTTATGCTTATTACCTATTTTTCTTACTACCTTTTATTACCAAATCTTAACCGTTGATTTCTTCCAATCTAACGGTTATAATTTATTGCAAATTAATAAGTATGACCACATAAATTTCAACCGTTAGATTGACAGAAATCAACGATTAAGATTTGGTAGTAACATGTAGTAAGAAAAGTAGGTAGTAAGTATAACATCTCCCTAAATTTTAATACTATCTAGTGTTTAACATGATATTGTATAAGATAATGTATAACATATTGTATAAGATAATATCATCAAGTGTTTGATAATGCATTGTATAATACCAAATAGGATAAAAATAAATGTTTTTGATAAAAATACTCTCTAATAAAGAATTTATATAATTCTCCAAAATATGTCATATAATATTCATTTTTATAAAAATCTATTGATTAAAAGATATATTAATTTTAATAAAAATAAAAGTCTCCAATGTTTTAGAATTAATATATTGGAAAAATTAATTTTTATTTTAATATATTAATATTAAAATAATATATTAATTCTTGAGAATTGCACTCGTCTGCGATGTTAATACAGCAATCCCTTATCAGGCCTAATCCAGTATTGTTAAAATGTAGTGTCAACTGGGTTGAAACGTACGATTTTACGTTTTTTGACCAAAAAAATGTGTTAAAATGGTTGTAGAAACGTAAAATAAGCTGACTCGGTTGAAACGGAGAGTCAACTTGGTAAACTCGGTTGACTCAGAGAGTTTACCGAGTTGTCTCAGTATTAAAAAAAATCAGATTTTGGGCGAGAGAAAGAGCAGTCTTAGTTGTCCTTTTACTGTGTTATCATATAAAACAAAAAATATGACATATTTGTCCTTTTGGTTTCAATATCTATTATTAATAAAGGATCTTTTTTTTCACATTATCGTATTGTATTGGGTCTCTTGCATATTTTGTCGGTAGTCTCTGCTCTCTCTTTTGCAAGTCGCAAGGGTTCTTTTTTCTTTCGCTGGTATCGGACAAACCAACAAGTAGCTTGGGACAGCGGCGTTTCACTCCTCTGTCTTGGTTTGTTGGTAGCTTCTCCTCTCTAGCTTTCTCCTCTCTTGAATCATCATCAAGTAACGATTCTGACCTCTCTTTTTTTCCTATTCTTCTTTTTTTTCCTTGAATTTCTTTTTCTAAATTCTTCCCTTATTTGTTTTTACCGTTTCTTCCATTATTTATTTTTTCTGGTTGCTTCTCCTTTCTGGTCGCTTCTTTGTATGGTCGCCCTTTCTTCTTAGTTTCTTCTTTTTTTCTTGTTGCTTTAACCAACCCAAATTTTTATTTTATAGAAAAAATATAAAAATTAAAATTATGTATTCCTCTGAATATTTAACTTTTTTTGGCCTCTATTTCAGTCCTTTTGGATACACATGAAGAATTTACTTATGCAAAATTATGTACTGCATTATTTAATAAGTGTGTTTAAAAATTATGCACATAATATTGTTTCTGGATTCTGTTTGTTTATTTTATTATCTATTGTTTTTTGGCTGAAATTTCAAAGCTTAAAACTGAGATCATTTCTCTGAACTTTGATTAAATATAGTTTGAAATAATATGGCTTCATCAAGTGCTACTGGTAGTAGTAGCAATCCGGCTTCTATTAGTGTAAGTAACACTACTGTTGGGGGGAAGAAATTTCCTAGAAATGCTCCTGGAAATAGGTTAGATCCTGCATGGAAGCATTCAATTGAAGTTTCAGGAACAAAAAAGCTTAAATGCAAGTATTGTCCCAAAATAATGTCTGCTGGAGTTTTTCGTGCAAAGCACAATTTGGCAAGAACATCTAAAGATGTTGAACCATGTATAACGATGCCAGATGAAGTAAAAACTGAGATGTTGAATCTTCTTATTGGAGCATAACAAGGAAAATCATTGAATAAAAATTTGGAGTGCAATGTTCAAGAAGTACAAGAGAAAGTTGTTAGTGGGGGCTCTGATATTTTCAAGAAAAGTAGAACATCTACTCCTATAACCCTCAATACCATATTGAAGAAGAACTTGAGGGAGGAGGCATGTCTTACATTTGTACTGCTATGTATAACAATGGAATTCCTTTCAATTTTGTGAATAGCGGTGATTTCAAAAAGATGTGTGAATCAATTGCTAAGCATGGATCGGGTTTCAAGCCACCATCTTATCAGGAGCGTAGAGTGAAATACTTAAAGCAAAAATATAATATGACAATGGTTGTTGTTGAAACACATAAGGCTCTATGGAAGAACACTTGATGCACAATAATGACTGATGGATGGACTGATAATAGAATAAGAACAATAATCAACTTTTGTGTGCATAGCTCTATGGGAATTGTGTTCCTTAAGTTCATTGATACTTCTCACATCACCAAAACAGCTAATAAGATTTTTAAGATGATTGATGAAGTGTTAGAAGAGATTGGTGAAGAAAATATTGTCCAAGTTGTGACGAATAACGTTGCAAATTATAAAGCTGTTGGGGCTTTGTTGTCCAAGTTGTTGATTAGACCTCCATGACTCATTTTACCATATCCTGTTTGACTTTGAAATGCCTCCATGACCATAAACTTCATGTAAAAAGAATGTTCATGTCAGATGAATGGAAGAATAACAAATATGCAAAATCAACAGATGGAAAACTTAGTGAAAATGTAGTGATGGATAAATACTTTTGGAATAGGGTTGAGATTTGTTTGATAGGGGCACTTCCTTTGATTGAAGTGTTTCGGTTAGTTGATTCATATAACACCTCACATTCCTAAGTTTAAATAGTAAAATATTAAATGAGAATTAAATGGAGGATTAGTGAAAATCCTAAAAAATAGACAAAGAAAGGGCAAAACAGTAATTAGCCAACACGCAACCCCTAGGCAGATAAAAATTGAGTAGAAGGTCTCAGATGATAAAATAACCCTGGAAATGGATTCAGAACGAAAAATCGAGTGGATAGGCAAGTTTCGAAAATTTGATGAATAGTGATTTTTCCGGTGTAAAATACTGCGGTATAATTGTACCGATAAGCGTGAAAATATAATCAGTATTTTTAGGAAGTAAAAATATGACGTGAACCCCCAAGGGTAGCTCAGTTGGCAGCTGAGCTCCCAAGGGATTGCTTGGTGCAGGGATCAAACACTGCCTCAAGCAGTTTCTTGGAAAATCTTTGGGGGCCAGAGGATATGCCAAAAAATCTTCGGTTGGGGGATTAGTCTCGTCCTTTCTCCGGTTGCGAAGCTTAGTGCACCCACTGTTACAATGAGGGGCTAGCCCAAACGGGCCGTACCCCGAGGGCATGGTGCCCAGAGAAGGTTGAATGGGGATACCTACTGGCAATGTACCAAAAAAAAAAATATGACGTAAAAGAGAAAAATACGTAGGTTATGAATTGGTGATTTAAATTAGGTGATTGATTAAAGTTAAATCGCATGTGGGACCCACCTTACTTAAGTGGACCTTGCCACTTGGACAACACCACAAATCTGATTTTTCTCTCTCCTCCTTCCTCCTCCAAACCGTGCTTGCCTTCCATGGAAGGGGAGATTTGCTTCCAAAATTTCTTTTCCTCATAACTCCTTCAATACACCTCCGAATCAAGAAAAGTTTGTGAGAAAAGTTGTTGGAAATCATCATCCGAACACAACCCACCGATTAGTTTCCCTCGAAACCCTCTCATTTTTTAGAAAAGGGCCAAAACCAGCCACGAAAATTGGAGCGATTTTTGTGATTTTGGAGTTGTGTGTTCAAGCCATTCCTTGGAGATCACTTGGAGGGGTCCTAGGCCAAGCTTGTGAGTATATTTCAACACCTCTCATGGATTAATTTGATGATTTATTTTCATGAACCCTAAAGAGGGCTTGGTTGATTGATGTGTTTAGAGAGTTCAAATGGAAAATGTTTATACATGAATGTGTCTTAGAATGATGTGTAGTATCCATAAATGCAATAAAAATTATTGACGAAAAATGTGAAATTTTAACTTAGAAAAATTTTAGGATGTCAAGACTTTGAGTTTTGGAAATGTGTTAGGATTGGATTGATGAGTTGTGGTGTGATTGTAGGTTGATATAATGGGATTGTATGATGTGTGGAGTGGTTAAAATTGGATTGAAAATCTCTTGGAATTTCCTTGGTGCAATTCGGCCATGTAGGGGAAAAAGTGGGGAAATTGTGTTGAAAAATTATTTGAATGATGTGTTGTGTAATTAAATAGAAATTAGATGGGATGTGTGGTGGTTGGAAGGTTGAAAAATCAACGGAAAAATAATTGGTAGTGTTTCGTGTTAAATTGTACATAGAGCAAAATATTAAGCAAAACGACGTTTAAAAGACGTAAAGTGAAAAACGGCACTTGATATGGCCTTTCGGCAACCTAAGGATGCCTAAGAAAATAAGAAAGAAAAGTTAGAAAAATAAAACGCAAAATTGCACCTTAATGGCCGAACCTACATGGTGTAGGGGAGGATTTTTGACGTTTTTGTAATTTGATAGAATTATCGTGTATTGATTGTTCGTACATGGTTGTTGTAGGTTGTCGTACGTTGAGTTGAATCCCGAACCGTGAGTCGGTGGATTACCATTGGTCTTGGACCAAGTGGGATTGAGGTAAGTGATTGGAACAATGCTTGAATAATTGTTAACTTGCATATGTTCGTATGAGTTTTAAGTGATTGAGAATGTCCTCTGCGTAGGCATTTCTGTTGAGTAACGAGCTCAGAGAATATACTGCTTTGGAGCTAAGTGGAGAGGCTTATTAAGGTAACCTCTTGGTACTGGGGCTTGATCCCCTTGTGTGTTCCACCATGCCCGTTGAGGGTGATGGTAGGAAATGTATGTAAGTAATGTAGAACAACATGATCATGGATATAGTGTGTATGTGGGTACATAGGTACCGAGTCTCTGGAAAGTAGACAGTTTGCTTTCGGGCATTTCGGACTTCCACTGGATAGGTCTCCGAGAGGGAGTTCCAGTTGACCTAGGGTCGTGGTGTGTGATCCGGATAGGAGCACACTAGGAAGTCTCGGGTGTATGCGGATGGGAGGGGTACCTTGGTTGGATGTTCTTGGAACACGCCTTGGCTTACATGCTAAGCCATTAGGCAGGGCGTTGCGTGGTATTGGTAGCTACCATTCCAGCTTCGTCGTATTTTATATTCCTATGATCTCCAGTTTCTCTAAATCCCTTGCTTTATCTTGTTTTTTAAGATGTTGTTTTATATTATTTATATGCATCGAAGTGAGCCATTTGGCAGAGTTTTTCTAGAACCTCTGGGTTACTGAGATATATTCGTATATCTCACCCCGTCTTGGGGGGCTTTATTTCAGGAGGTAGCAGTGGTGCAGGAGTGGCGGGCAAGAAGCCCGTAGGATGAGTCGTTCGAGGATTTTATGTTTTGCATTTTGATGGCCATTGGGCCTATGATAGACTTAGGGCATGAACACCCCATATGTATGTAGGATGAGTTTCACGTCATATTTGTTCATGCTATTTTTGCCTAAGTCTAGGTACATGTTGTATATGTCATTTTAAGCTTTATGTTTCAAGTTGTAATTTAAAGTTATGAATTTGTAAGTTGTAATATGTAATTGAGATGTTGTAATTGTACAATGAACACTTGATGTAATATGATGGAAGGGCTTTAGGCCTATTTTAGGATTATAATTATGTGTATGCTTAGAAGATGCATGTAAATGGACATTGGTGATTGAAATAAGTCAAGGATTAATAAAGTGAGCAATATGATATGAATTGTGTAATAACTATAAACTGAGTTGGGTTGTAACTGTCCCAAGACATTGTTGATCCTTGTGTGTGCCACCCATTGGTTATTAGGTACATTTGAGGTATTAGAAAGCATTTGCAAACTTTGGGATTTTTGTAAAAACAAAGGAAACTCTGGCGAATTTTCTGTAGAATTGGCAGAATTTAGGAGAATTTCGGGAGAGCATATCTCCCTCCACAGAGGTATGATAGGGACGTACCATACTCCATTTTGAAGATTGAGATGTCCTCTATCTTGTGGTAAAATTTGAGAGAATTCTGGGTTGGACGCCGGTCTAGAGAAGGCAGAGAGTGCAGACTGCCCAATTGCTCACTGCACTTGTGGCAGATCTGGACCAGTTTTGGGAAATTAATTCCCGCTTCGTTTCTTAATCAAATTAAGTGTATGATATATCAAATTGAAGCTTGATGTGTCTAGTTTGTTGTATAAACATTTTAGAGCAATTGGTAGATTGGATTTTCTACAGTAATTCGTGGAATGAAGGATGTTTGGAGCTGTTTTGGGGTTGGTTGGCAGTTTTGCTTGTCCAACTTCAAACAGCGATATGCAGAGCAAACGAGATCAAAATGACTCGTGTGATGGCTCATTGGAAAGGTATTTAAGTAAGCAAAAAAAGATAGCAAAAGATGAAGGACTGGTTTTGTGCGGTGTGTCCGCAGAAAAATAATAACCGAACCATGTTCGGATGGGTGGAAAACGTAAAATCGAGAAATTAGCTAAGTGGGTTTATGAGAACCTCTTAGTGTCTTGTATTGAGTAAAATAAGATATTAAAATAGTTTAAACAAGTATTTCGCATGAGTTTACAGTTATGGTCACAGCTTTTAATTATTATGCTTTTTATTGTTTTAAATACTCGCGTAATAACGGAAAAAGTTTATTCGCATTTTTATAAATGAATTGCTGTGATTGTAACTGTGCTTAATATCATAATTAATGTTAACAATACCGGTGTACAACGGGCTGTTACAATTCAGATGATACAACCATGGGCTCTATTTATGAGGCAATAGATTGTGCCAAGGAGAAAATTGAAGAGGATTTCAAAAAAAAAAACCTTCATTGTAAGTTATCAATTAATTTATTTAATTAAAAGTTGTAGACATTTTTAACTCAAAATTAATTCAATTGTTATCATTTTATTTTTTTAGTTATCAACCTATTTGGGATGTCATTGATGCAAGATGGGAGAGACAACTTCATAGGCCTTTTCAAGCTGCAGGCTATTACCTTAACCCAAAACAACATTATTGTCCTACATTTAAAGTTGATTATGAAGTAAAGGTTAGACTATATGATTGTATAAAAAGGATGGTGGCGGATACAACTATAGAAAGAAAGATTGAAGAACAACTTGAGGAATTCAAGCATCGTAAAGGTCTTTTCTGGACTACCTTTACTATGGATGGAGTTGAAACCAAGAGTCCAGCAGCATGGTGGGAATCTTATGGTGATGGCGTTCTTGAGCTCCAAAAATTGGCTATTCGTACGCTTAGCTTGACATGTAGTTCCTTTGGGTGTGAACGGAATTGGAGTGCTATTGAGATGGTATAATTTTAATATGAATTGGATTTCATTTCAAAAAAATGATATTAGTCTAGTATTAAATTATTTTATTGTATTTGTTTGGGTCACACAAAGAAAAGAAATCGTTTGAAGCAGGAGACAATGAATAATATTGTTTTTGTGATGGCTAACTCAACATTAGGCAAGAGAAAACATAGAGCATCTCCTCAAATTGATTATTACTTTGATGACATTGAGTTGGATGATGATTGGATTATGGAACCAACATATGAAGCATTTTTGGAAGATGTTGAAGAAGATCAAGATCCCCTTGGCTTGGATGATCCAAATGAAGAAGAAGGGAACTTGAATGACTTGGAAATTCCTGGATTTATTGGTGAATTTATTAGTAGAAGATGAGACGAAGAAGATGATATTGACTTGGACCCCAATGACTTAAATTAGAGACTTGATCTCTTTTATAATTTTATTGCCTTGGTGTTTTGATTTTAGTATGTATTATGATGACTTATGTATTTTATTGCCTTGGATTTATTATTTTAATTTGAACTTAATTTTTATTTCCTTAGTGTTTGGACTTAAATTTGTGATGACTTATGTATTGGTGTGTTTTGGTTATATGATGGATATATATATATATATATTTGGGTATGTAGTAAACTCTTACGTTTCACGTTTTTGCTCACCCCTACCGTTTCAGTGTAGACTCTACGTTTTAACAACGTCGGCCTAATCTCACCCCCTTAGGCCGGATTAAGTTATACATTATTTTCATGTATTAAGGGATTCTGCTGTGTTTATACTATATGATAGTCACATCAAACAACTAAAAATATCATAACGTATAGTATAAACTTATACTATCATGCCTTATACATCACACCATATATAGGCCCCAAAGATCACCATAACCCCATAAACTAATCAAAAGAATGAAAGACCAAATTGTAGACTTACTACATAAGTGTCCAACTAAAAATACATCCAATTGTTCGATCCCTACAGTGCTCCACATAATTTAATAAGGTAAGTAATCATCATCAAATCCACATTTTAGATACTTAATCTTGCATAATCTATGTCATGATGGAAATCAAACTTAGTTACATGCGGATTGTTCCAATTTTATATATACATTGGTTATACAAAACACACATAGGCTATTTCAAGATACTTGTCTAACTTATTTACAAGTCATCACTCGAAATGTCCAAGTCAGCCTCAAAATAGTAGCCATGATTGTTTTTTAAAACCATCAACCATTCTGTTTGGATACATTGATGGGAATTGAACACATAATCTAATACAAAATATCTAAATCTTTCACCATAAGACCAATTCTAGTGGCTTAAACATCAATCATTCTATATTGTCTTCAATAGCCTTGTCTTTATCTCCTTAGTCTCCTACATAAGCAGCCTCAATCAGGTGGGATATCACTCAATAAACCTCAGATTCTTAATTTCATTCCCTAATTATTACATATATATACATACATACATATATATATATATATGAAAAATGATGTATAATGTCACTGTATATAAGGCTTGGTGCTGTCAAAAAATTAATTATGTACTACGGGTAGTACATGATTTTTTTCTCTCTCTTCAAAAATCATGTACTACCAGTAGTATATAATTAATTTCTGAAATATACTATGTAATACTCGTAATACATAGTGTAACTGCACAAAACCTCAGGTACAGTCACTGTTTGTAACAGCCCATTACGTACTGGTAATGTTATCATTGCATATGGTATTAAGCGCAATTACAATCACAGTAATTGAGTTAATTATATTATGGGTAAACTTTTTCTTTTATTACATTATTTTCTTTAAACATTAACCATTTCCGTAATCAATTAAAAATAACACCGTAATTGTAATTGCAAAACTTGCGAAAGCATAAAACTCATTTATTATAACCCAACTAAGAAATACCATTAACTCTAGGTTAAAAAATGACAATTCTTCAAAATTTTCACAGTGGGAATCGATTCTCAACAGCCAAGAATCGATTCCCAGTAGTTACAGAAACAGACAGAAGCTACAAAATGGCTACCCCGTTTTTAGGAATCGATTCCCAGCCTTCACAGTGGCTGAAATTCACGTGCTCTATCTCAGGGAAATGATTCTCACAGCAGGGAATCGATTCCCTACTGTGAAAAACCAGTTTTGACAGCTTTTTTACTTCACAAGGGATCCATGATTCAATTCCTATCACTTTAATACTTATTATAACCCATGTACCATTACTAATGTAGGCTCTAGGCTCTTCCATCATGCATATTCATTATGTAATGCATCAATTATAATATTTCCCAATTCCAAAGCCATTTAAATGTCAAACGGTCACTTTACATCACAAGACTCCAAATGCCTCAAAACACAAAATATGTGGTCATGGACAAGTCACATGCTCACCAAAATACCAATATAATCAAAAGGCATAAAGTATACATGAATTACAAAGACTTAGCATATAGTTATGAACACCCAAAAGCATGGCAATATCAACATGCAAATTGTACACTTCCTACATAAGTGTCCAACTAAAAATACATCCAATTGTTCGGTTCCCACAGTGCTCCACTGAATTTAATAAGGTAAGTAATCATCATCAAATCCACATTTTGGATACTTAATCTTGCACAATCTATGTCATGATGGAAATCAAACTTAGATCTATAATTTCATATATCATAAGCCTAATTTGAGTAAGGAATAAGGGACAACTTAAAATGATACCAAATTTTAGGACAATATAGTTGACATCCTAAGATTTAAAATGAGATATGAAACGCCTCAATTTAACAACTGTGGAGGGAGATATGGTCTCCCAAATGTAGGTAAAATTCAGGCCATTTCCTTAGAAATTTTGATAGCACATCCTTTATTTTCTTAACTAATCCCACTTTTACAAGTGTGTTCCATTTTCTTAAAAAGGTACCTAGTTGACCATATACAATCTAAAACAATTTCTTCAAATAAAATAAATAAATAAATACAAACTTAAAATAATTTAAATATAGGAAACATTCAAGGATTTTTGACCCTTTTGCCCCTCATTAATTAATTAATAACCAATTTGCCCCTCCTCCAGAACTATCCACCATCCTGCCCCCATTTAGTCAATCAACTTGCACTTTTAATCGACTAAATGGTCAAAATCCAGAAAACATGAATCACGAGATTTAGTCGACTACATCCTCACCTTGATCGACTACATTTCGAGCACTTTTAATCGACTAAGGACATTATTTAGTCGATTAAAAGTCGCAGAAAACCCTATATCCAGCCCTCTCTCGGTCTCATTTGCAATATTTTCATTTTGTACCCCCTCTATCTCTTGTTTGTCAGCTGTGATCCTTCCAATAACGATTCCATTTCATCCCACCATCTCTAAATCATAGTAATTGTGAAATCATTGTCATTCCCTTTATTTTCTCATTTGTTTCCCCCAAATTCGACCCTAAAACCCGATTCTTACCCCCGAATTCGTGTGAAAGATGAGCTCAAACCCAAACATGTATGTTACAATGATCTACTATGATGGAAAGCATTATGAAGGCCCCAACGGTGTTCAATTTGAAGGAAAAACGAAAATGTTGAAAATCAAACGGGGCACTACGTACAATGAGCTGAAAGGGATGATTCACCAAAAATTGGGGCTACAAGGCAGCCAGTGCGTTCAACGGATGATCTCCAGGGTAGAGTCTACAGTTGGTAAGGATGCTATATTCTACATTGGTAATGATATATGTGACGACGAAGATGTGGAATGTGTCATAGATGCAATTGTGGACCGAAAATTTCAAAACTTTATTGAGATATATGTTGAAATAGACTGTGGTCAATCTTAATCTGCACCTATGCATGAAAGAAGTCAAAGTCAAGAAGACAGAGTGGTCGGTTTATCTGCACCTGCACCTGTCTTAAGTCATATAACACTGATGGAAATATACGAGGATGAGGATGAGCATGAGGAGGATATGGACAGTGAAGACGACGATGAACCCGAGAGTGTTATTCCGCTGGGTGACACCTCAGATACGGACGTAGATGGGAATTTTGATGCTGACACAAGTTCAGGAAACCTGAGTTCCCAGGTTATGCCACCACTCCGTGTTGACCCTGTTAGCAGTGGTAAGATAGTAAATTAAATTTCTTAAATGAATATTTCATATTTGTGTTATCATTCGTACTGACGGATAACTCCTGTAATTTGGACTTAGGTTCCGAGATTGAGCCGTTTTGGAACGAAAGCCCACATTATTCCTTCATTAATTGGGCTCACCCTAATGATGAGACAGAGATATTGTATGGCGACGATGACTTCCACGATCGCTGGCAATTAGGGGATCCATTATATTTGTACCAGGAGTTTTAAAGTAAATCTGAAATGCAACATGCAGTCAAATTATATTGTATGAAGGCTCATCGTACTGCTGTGGCGGCAAAAAGTGATGACCATAGATTTGTGATAAAGTGTCGACACCATAATGATGGTTGTCCCTGGTATGTGCGGGCTATGTTGCCCAAGAATGGAAATACTTGGGTTGTTAGTAAGTGGGGTAAAGAACACACCTGCCTAAACCAAGGCCTTACCCGGGACCATAGACACCTGGATTAGCATGTAATCTGTGCAGCCATTATAAGTATGTATTACGCGATGTTTGGTTACATTAGTTATGTTTATGTTTTTTTACGGTATATTTATTGACTGTGTTGACTTCGATTTTTTTATAGGTATGTTAAAAGAAGATCCATCTCTGAAACCAGTTCTTATTCAGGAGAGGGTACAGCGTTTGTATGGATATAACATATCTTATAGGAAGGCTTGGAAGGCTAAAATGAAGGCCATTGTGAAGTTGTTTGGCGACTGGGATAAATCATATGCCTTCTTACCTGGTTGGCTGACCTACATGACACAGATTAATCCTGGTTCTGTGTTCAAGATTGATACGGACCAGTGTTGTGACGAACGACGTGTGTACACCGATAAGGCTGTCTTTCGCAGGGTATTTTTGATTTTTCACCAGTGCATTGAGGCTTTCAAATATTGTAAACCCATAATCCAAATTGATGGCACGCACCTGTGCGGGAAATACAAAGGTACCCTCTTGATTGCTACGTCACAGTATGGTGATGGATACGTTATGCCTATTACGTTTGCCATTGTTCCACCGGGTGAGAGATTGGATGATTGGTTGTGGTTTCTTAGCCTCATGTGTTTCCATGTCACACATAGGCATGGTCTATGTCTAATATCCGATCGTCACCCCAGCATCATCAGGGCTGTGAAATGTCGGTTGGCAGCCTCCATTTGCGTATCACGTGTTTTGTCTTCGTCGCATTGGAAGCAACTTTAA